AACTTCCAAAATTAGAAGTATCGAGCTTCAGCTGAAAACTGATTTTTCCAATAGTTCTAAATCAAGGGCAGAAATATGTAAAAACGAATAAATGCACATTAATTGGGAAATCTCGGAAACTATTTTATCTACAGACAAGAATTTTGACAGTAAGATAGCTTATTTTATCTAATAACGGATTCTTTGGAAGGCCGGACTAAGGGATGAAATGGCACAAGTTTGAAATTGATTGGAGTTTTCTAAAATCTAAAATTTGGCAACGATGATACTCTGTTTGGAGCAGACCTAAACTAAGAATGGATTGTGTAACCAGAGAGAGCAACGTAAAATTTAATACAAATTAAAATGCTTAGGTGGTTCCATTAATAGAATAACCAATTTTCTCAAGCATGCAAGTTGACTGTCAATTTACTAATGCAATGCAAATACACCAATAGCTAAAAATAATGTTATATGTTAGTAACAATTTAACGCGTACGAAGTCGAAAGCTAGTTTGTCTATATAGGGTGTTTCAGAAGAACGTGGTAATATTTCTAGGGTAGCAAGTACGCCAAAAAATAACAAAAGAAGTTCCTATAAGCATAGGTCCTAAAATGTCCCGTTATCAGGTTACAGAGTATTGTGGATTTCTACGCCACTGATGAGACTGAATAAGCACAAAACATGGTTATTGTTCAAGAATTAACCTCCTAATACACACCACGTACAATTGCACTGCCAAACTTAATTAACTTCAGCGTATTTTCAAAGTAGAATGGGTTGAGATGAGATTTCTTATAACTGGATATTACCTCAAGTAGGAGAAACATAGTAGGCCGCGCGGATCGAACGTCACTACTGAATCTTAACCTCACTCTTTAGTAAACTTAAATTCAAAGTTTCACAACAATACAGTGTTCTCACTACAGTGAATTTTTAAGTGTCACCAAGTCCTTAGAAAAACCGAGAACATTTTCCCGCCATAATTTATTACAACTTTCAGAGACAATTATCGCAACAAGAATGCCTTGCTGAGTTACTGTCTGTTTTCGACAACGAAGCGTCACATCAGTCGACAATTTCCCGTTGGTATGGAGAATTCAAACGTGGACGGGTGAGTCTTAGCGACGATCAGAGGGTGGGTGCACCAAAAACGGCAGTCACCCAGGAAAACGTCGATGCTGTGCGCAAACTCATCATTGAAGATAGACATGTGACATATCGCGAGATTGAGGCATCCTTGAAGATCTCAAAGACATCAATTCAGAAAATTTTACATGAAGAATTAAGAGTAAGAAAATTAGTTTCTAGTTGGATACCCCACCTGTTGACTGAAGAACAGAAAGCAGCCATGGTTAATTGGTGTCAAAAAATGCTTGACCGTTTCAATTCCGAAACTCAAAAAATGTGTACAGCATTGTTAGTGGTGATGAATCGTGGATTTACTGTTATGAACCAGAAAATAAACGTCAGTCGGCTGTTTGGGTGTTCCAAGGTGAAGAAAAGCCAACAAAAGTCATCCGTTCTCGCAGTGTTTCGAAAAAGATGGTCGCGACATTTGTGTCAAAAGCGGGTCATATTGCAACAATTCCTCTTAATGAACAAAGAACTGTTACTGCGGATAGGTATACCACCAATTGTTTGCCAAATGTCATCACCGAGCTTCGAAAAATCAACCCCGAAAGAAGAATCATCCTCCACCAAGACAATGCAAGCTCGCACACAGCTCAAAAGACAAGGCAGTATTTAACAGAAGAAAACGTGGAATTATTGGACCATCCCCCATATAGTCCCGATCTAAGTCCTAAAGATTTCTATACTTTCCCGAAAATTAAAAACAGACCGCGTGATCAAAGGTTCCAGTCACCAGAAGAAGCAGTTGACGCATTCAAAAATGCCGTTTTGGATCTGCCAACAAACGAGTGGAATAAGTGCTTCGAAAATTGGTTCGAGCGCATGCAGATGTGTATTAATCTTCGTGGAGAATACTTCGAAAAACAATAAAGTCATTTAAAACTACCCACCGTGTTGTTTTATTTCCATATGCAATACTTAAAAGACATCCCTCGTATTCGAACCAGTAGTAGTAGTAGAAGTAAATTCCAAAAAAGTTAGAGATGTAGATTTTTTTTCTGTAGGGGTCAAAATTTTCTAATTGCTACGACACTGGCATGGTCTAAGTCAGGAAATGTGGTTATGATGCCAGTACTAAGTACTTCTACAAAATTTTATGTCGATATCTTATTCCGGTGAGGGGGCACTAGGTTTAAGGCCAATGTTTATATGAACTTTTCGTGTTTTTTTTTATCTACTCACGCCCTAGAAAAGTGGGCAATTTTTTCCTGCGACACATTGCCTAGGTTTCAGCAAAGTATGAGAAACTAATAAAGAATCATTGAATACTGTTACTGTTACGTTGATATTTTTTATACTTCTGAAGGTTCTAATAATAATAATAAGTGGTATAACAACCACTGAGAGTTTTTAAAGATCTAGTTTCCAACATTCGGCTCTCTCAGCAGACAGTGGATTGTTATCATCCTACACCAATTCTAAATGATATTTTTATAAAATGAGTCTTGTTATCGCTTAAATTGAGATAACCATGGTACACTAAATGACATTACAATAGCTTGGTAGCATTACAATTTTTTTCTTACTTTTAAACTATTCAAACAGTTTTGTTACTAATGCTGTTTGTTTTTATGTCATGTTTTGTTAAAAACTCAACATTATTTACATACAACGATCCCATAAATTTTATAACAGTGGTTTATGCGACAGTAAAAACATGGCAAAGAAATTATTATCCCTATAAAAACCCCAATGTTATAACAAAGTTTATGGATTACGAATGGTTCGGTCATTGGCGGAAAAACCTTTCATGGTTGGACTTATACACACCCTTTTAAGCGGCGGACAGTTGCGACAATGAGATCGGACCAACCAAACGCGTCTCGCTCTTTTTTACTCCCTACGCCACTGCCGAGAAAGCATTGTGATCACAAAAAATTTCGAAAATTGGATTTACTTTTTCAGGAAATACTGATCGTTTTCAGAAATTTTTTGTAGGTTTTATTAGGGGTAGGGGGTTATAAGGGCTGGGGCAGGGTATACTTAAATTCTTTGGCATTAGTATATTTGCTTCCAACTCCAATAATTCTAGGAATCCATCAGGCATATTTCAGTAGTCATAGATTAAACCGTACATCTGCCTTTATAAAACTTGCAGAAATATTTTAAATATACGCGTGCCACGTAACGCATCTGTCGTCGAGGTCTGATCGATGTCTGAATCGTGTCTTGACGATGAAAATGGGTGGATGCGGAGTGTCGAGTGGCCAGGTAATAACATTTCCAGATGCCAGTATTTTCGGAACGATAGGGGAGAAAATTCGATATCGCAACGTGTCAAATCGGTGGGTACTGTGGACTACTTGTGTATACCTGATTGGCTAACTTGATCCATTCAATTTTTCGTTACACATATTCGTAGCTAACTTTTTTTCAAAAAGATTAACTTGTGTCCTTTATGAACTGATGACTGAATTGCGTAGGAAGAACGGAGTCAACCTACTGGACGCCATTTTTGCTGCTAAAAAGCTACACGTGGACGCGGTTAAAAAACAGATCAATCAAGCGCGATCGAAAACGTTATAAAGGCTGCAATACAGACAAAATTTCTCGTTGCAACATACATAAACGTAATTTGGCTTTAAACGTGAATAAAACGAGGTGGTTTTCACGTATTATGGTTTGTTCTACGGTTCTTTCTGAGTCATGGAAGCCTTGCGGTTGGGGTACGGACGCAAAAAGGTTTGACCACTGACTGTTCCTACTATTAGTATTATTTATATCTTGGTAATGTTCAATCTTCCTAGATTCATATGGCATATGAATAGCGTCACTCTTGATTTAAATATCGGATAGAGATCGTCATATTACAGCTGACAATAATTGCTTGAATTGGAATAAATTAAAATTGATATGTTGAAACTACAGTTTAGCGGTATACAGTATGTATGATCTTGCCATGCTTTATAATAATCATATCAGATGTAATTTCATGGTATTTTGTGATAGCATATGTACAGTCTGCAAAAATCTAAATTTCACCAATTTTGGTCTGGAAAACAAAATTGAAATACTTTAAATTAAACTAATCTCAAAATACTCTTCAAGGCCCTGTATAGCAAGGTTGTATCTTTAATTTAGATACTTGACGACGTCAAAAATTATAATTTTTAACTGAATCTTTAAGCAATGAAATTTCCTTATACGATTTTTTAACTTTTTAATGTGTGAAAAGCCGTAAAAATGGGTAAATTCAATGCTTAAAAATTCTGTTATGAAATCTAATCTTTGAGATCGCCAAGTATCTGAATTATAGTGTGTGCCTTGCTTTACAAGACTCCGATGGCTACGTCGAGATTAATATATTTTAAAGCGGTTTTTAAGCTTGTCTGTTAGGCCAAAATTCGAGAACTTTACATATTTTCACGTTTCTTCTACGATATAACCCCGAAAATGACATTTGCATTTACCTTTGTAAGCAGCCTCAAAAATCACGATTCTGATGCGCTTAGAAAAATTATAAAATAAAAAAACAGGCAAGTGCATGTTTTATGTGTACGCTATGACTGATTCATTTTTTGATTAATGGACTGATAATGGTAACATCGAGGGTAACACCACCTGAGAATTTACACAGGACTACAAAGGGGTCAATATGTTTTGTAAACGCTCGCGTATTTCTCAAAGAGGTTGGTAACTACCTATTGTGGGCGCTGGGAACCTACAGAGGAGCGGCAAAGAGTCTAAAGGAAATTGAGTTGCATTGAACTGATTTGGGGTGGGGTGCAACGGTAATTTGAGAACCGCTGGTGTAGGGAAACAGTTGGGTATATTGTACACAAACCTTACAGAAATCAGTCTCTGCTAAATCTTGCCCAAACTTTGGGAATAAGCTTTCCAGAACATCCCGATCAAAAGTTCTCATGGGCTCTTAACAATCCGATGTAGCGGTTCCATGATATACAGTGTCCCAAGCATTGCTTCTAAATAAAAGAATATCAAAGACAAATAATTATTATCATAGGTGTATATATGTACATACATATTATTCTCATTTCTTATTACACAAAAAATGTCATATTAGTTTCTAAAATGTTTATGATCTCGTTATTAGTATCGTTCTTAGCATAAGGAATAAACGAAATACGTAATAACAGTCTGATCGTATTCTTGATGTAGAAAATAGGTTCCTAAAAATTAGAACAGCTCATGCACATCGCTTAAAATCCAGCAAAAATCTAATTGTATTGAGTAATTGCTAATTATCCTTAATAGCTATTACTACTTCGTCGAGGTTTCTGTTATGTAAACAAGAAAATCTTATCGCATGTAGTTAATCTACAGGGTGTCACATGCTAATATGGCGATGTCTCGAAGGCAAGAAAATAATGTATACAATTTCGTAAACCTGAATAAGCGAACCGGCAAGTCATATCCTGGGGTTTTTTTGGGTCCACTTATTGAGAATCGGAATTACTATGCTTTCAAAATGATGGAATTGGTAGACTGAATCTAGTAACACAATTATTGATGAAACTGTACTTGAAAAACGGCTCATTTTGTCGTTGTCGATCAAAAACATATTTTTCAGCTAAATAAGCAGGCGTTCCCAAAATATCAGCTTTGAGCTGTTGTTCGAGTTAAGAATTGCCATAATTGCGTGAGGACTAGTATATCTGTGGTCTATGTGCCGAATCCATATAGTAGAATTGGTCACATTTCTTGAAATGACCAACAAAATTTGACAATATTGTTAAATCGTCAACGTTTAAGGATTCGGTCATCCACGATTGGCGGTATCGTAAATATCGTAAAAATCATCAGTTTAACGATATGGTCATTCACAGTCGACCATATCGTAAAATGGGTGGTCTATACAACCAAAAAACCCACACAGTACTCGAATACCTTTTAGTCGTAAAGTCTTTTAAATCTCACATTTTTCATTTGTTCACGTTTTAATAGAATAATTCGGAAAACAACATTGTTATTGGTCGTCATGTTGACACATAAACAAAAGCGCCCTCGGCGCATTTATCGGTAATTAGTGTAATTATGTCAGGATTTGATCAAAGAAGCTTGGCCATTGCATAAACTATCCGCCAGTTTAGTTGATCATATATTTTATGGAATGCTCGATTATTTCATGAAATTGGCAATTCCAGGATGTGACCATGTCATAGGTATATTCATTGCTTTTATGGAAATGGTTACTGTGCTGAAAAAAATTTGTTTGAATGAACGGTATCGCTCCGATGTTGTCTTTGTGGCATTATTTTTTGTGTTCTACCTATTCCCAATTCAAAGAGATTGTCATCTTATTTTGGCACGCCCCGTATAAAAACCCAGGTATAACAACGCAAATAATGAGATCGTTGAAGGAGGCCTTCAGGAGGCCCTACAAAACATCGCAATTAGGGAACTTCCGGGGCACAGAAAAAAATATTCGGCATGTAGATCTTCATCTGTTTGAACAAGCCATCTAGATCCCCGTTAATGTGGGGGATAGTCCCGGAAAACAAAAGTACGTTGATAAGGTCCCTTTGGGAGGGTGAGAGGGCGCACCCGACCCTATCGTCGAGATGACCTTGACCTCCAACAGCTGAAGATAATGCCAGCGACGTAGTTATCATGAAAGACAAACAAATGCTGACTACAACTTCCGGTGGAAACAACTGCCTGTGCACATTTCGCATTGAAAACAACACTTACCTTAGGTGTCGTTCGCAAGGCTTGCATTCCGCACATGTTTCGTTTCTAGAACGATTTTGAATGAGAAATAGTTGATGATTTACTTACATTTTTGGTGCGTTCGGTAGCTAGAAGCCCCTCTCACATTGATTCGAAGAATTTTTTGCTAATTTAATGGAATGTTCGCAATTAGGAGTCCGAAACACACATCTTGCAGAGCCACGGAATGAGGGTTAGGCAGCGCTTCACATAGTTCTCCTGGACCAGCAAACCGTGGCGGAAGGTCCATCAAACGGTTTTTCGGAAATACGCACCGAAAATTCCGGGCACTATACAAAATAATCGATAGCGGGTGGCAAAGGCTCGGTTACAAATTGGACACAACCGCACACAACACAACACCGTAGGCTGCTCTGTTGTCTGTTTTCTGGTATCTGGTGTTGATTTTGACAGTGACAGAACGCGCCTTGTCCATCGGTTGTTCCGTCTCTCTTTTGTTTGGAGCGTGCGCACAGCTGCATTGATTTATCGGCCGTTCTCAACTTCCTGTTGTTTGGAATCGTTGAAAGAAGTAGGGGCGAACGGGGTTGGTTGTAGTGATGGGAAGAACTTATTTTTGTATTCGTAATTCTTCTTAAAATATTTACAATAGTGAGGGAAACATCCATGTCATTTGAATTTTGCAGTTTCTGTACACTAATTTGGATATTATCTAGGCATAGAATTTAGCCTAATAGATATATTGTATTCTTTTTTCTCTCGATAATTGGACATTAACGAAGCTAATTGTTTTTAATCGAGTTGCAGCAGTGCCGGATGCTCCGCTGTTCGATTTTCGTCCGCCGGCGCGCATGACGTCACGCGGAGAGTGATTATCATTTGGGTTGATATGGATAACGTGCATATTTTCACCTACAGGCCAAACGGCTGGACGAATTTTCACATAATTATGAAGTGTCGTTGGATTCGTTTTAGCGCTGCGAGTGACTCTAGATACATTAAAATTTTATACAAAACGAAATGGCGGATTTTAATAAAATATTTCAACCTTGTAATTCCTATCTCACAGGCTATAGCTTAAACGGCTTTTTAGCTCCACAATAGAGCGTGTATCGTCACTTTACTGTAAAAACAAGATTTTTCTACATTACCTATGTTTTAGTATGTTCTGTGGAGCAGGATTAACATGCTCATGACGTTAATACTGCACTACATTTATTCATCCTTATTTCACAGAACATCCTAAGTACTAACTACATACAAGTGTGAAAATGTACGCAACTCGAGAAGTAGAAAAATGGAGTTATCATCTTTTTGCAGTAAGCTCCCATAGGTTGGGGTTACTTTATGACATGCAGTTTTTGTAACTATATCACAAAGAAACACACATGCTTTGTTTAAAAAAATAAAAAGTATATATATTTGAGAGAAAAAACATGTATTTGAGAAAAAACACATACAATTTCCAAAAACAAACTCTAATAGGCTTGAAATAACAAAATGTTTATTATTACAAACAAAGTTATTGTTACTCAAGAATGTCTTTCAATTCTGGAACGTCAAATAAGGCTCGCTTTCCACGCTGCATTGGAGCGTTTATGCCCATAACAATTTCATCGTTCCTATAAAATATCTCGTCCTTCTTAAGAGGGAACTTCCATTGTTTTCCAGCACGTTCCATCACATTTACGGTTGCTCCTACCCTCGAGACATTAGTAATTTGACCAGGAAAATAGCTTTGCTCAAATTGTACAATTTCGTACTTTCCCGTTGATTTCTCCACTTTTTGGGATGGGACATTATTTTCTTCAGTGGGCTGTTCATCTCCATCATCGAAAAAATGGTCATCACTTGTACTGTCATCACTCTCCATGTATTTAACTTCGTCCTCATTTTCACTAGAACTATCTGATGATTATCTGTCAGCTCCAACATTTCGTAGACGTTTTCTCTGACGGATGCCAGAGGTTCCAGGCTCAGGATCAACAGTTTTTGTCGTATTTTCAACAGTAAGTGTGTCATTGTGTCACTACTGCATATGCTTTTACCTGGTTGCACCTTCAGACGTTTCCTTCTTTTTTACCTGTCTCTTTTTCGTTGTTTCTGTCCTTACATTGGTAAGGTGTTGAATAACATTGTTACCAACATGCTCAGTTATTTCGGTATCTGCTGTTACGACACGATCGCTTAAACGGTCTAACACTTGTTGTCGGCCCAAAGGACAAATTCCTGTTTTTCTGAAACCGGATTTTAAATTATCAGGCGCTTTCTCTGACAACTGATTCATTAGATTTTTCAAAAGCCCCGGAAATTCATCCTTTGGTATAGAAGAAGCTCTGCTGCCATAACTACTTGCCTTCCACTCGCTCAAAATCTTACGCCATTTTTCCTTCATTGGTCGGAAAAAAGCCACGTCAAGTGGTTGGAGTAGATGCGTGGTATTAGGAGGTAATGCTATAAAACGAATGTAATTCTTGAATGACTTGCTGATTCAAGTGTGAACTAAGATTGTCTCCTATGATTGCCTTTCGTCCTTCTTGACGTTTTAATATTGGAGGTATAAGATGTAAAAACCAATCCTCCAAAATTTGATAGTCAAACCATCCCGAAGCCGTCCTATTATATCGCGCGTTTGGCGGTCCATTTTCGGTACAGGTGTTTCATAATTTTTGAGATTTATAATTGACGTAAAGTGGTGCTATTTGACCCTCGGCCTTTCCGCATACCATTAATGAGGTACAGGCTTTAGATTAGTTCATGATACGTTCAGGATACTTCGTTCCTCTTTTGGTTACTATTTTTGTCTGTCCCGGGTCATCAACTAGGTTAGTCTCATCATAATTCCATATATTGCTTGCAGGAATTCCTTCTAACTCAACCTCTAAATCGAAGAAGTTATTTATGATTTCTTCCTCAGTAGCAGCCTTAGCATGTGAAATGTTCTGCGCAATCCTCTGAGAAAGTTGTGGATGTCTTTTTAGAAAGGATTTGACCCAATCAGATCCTGGCATATTTTTTTAAAAGGTTTAATATTTTTGCCCTGCCAGTCCAAATAGGACTTTACTACACATTGAAGGTCAAATGTGCTTACTGGAAAACCAAAAGCTGACACAGTAATTACATGGGCTGCAAATATATTTTCTTCCTCCTCAGTAAACACTTTTTGTTGTCCAGGTTTGTTCTTATGTCTCTCTTTTATTTTCAGCCATAAGGATATTATATTTTTCTACAGCACCGCGTAGTGAAATCCGTTTACTCCTTATCTCGTGAAGAGCTTCTGCTAATTTTTCTGGTGTATAATTTTTGTAATTGCGACTACCAATTTTTCTTCTATACACTCGTGGCATTGTACACATTTGCGTTTCAATAATACCTTCATAAACATTCAAGAGGTTACTTTGTGACATTTTTTTGTGACAAAGTAACCCCTCTAATTGTAACCAATTTTTAAAAAATGTGTTAGACAAAGTGAAAAAATAACTTCGAGAAGAGATAATTCTAACACTGAGGCATGAAAACGTTCGTATTTTAATATAAACCTACATTGGTGGAAAAATCTTTTAATATATTTTCTGACCAACACAAAGTTTGCACACAAAACGAAATCCACCTGTTTACTCGATTATCGAGTCGGCTCTGGCACGAGAAGCACAGCTGTATTAGGAGCTATTGATGAAACGGCATAGATGGCGCACCTACTCCACTACTGAAATATAAAATTTTAATTATACTACCGCCTTTAGCCACTTGGTAAAAATAGAAAATTTAATCATAGATGTCACTGTCACAAAGTAGGCTGTAGTGTTACAAAGTAGCCCTTCTTTACGGTTATGATTGAAGCTGCCAACCTCATACTTTGTGAATAGGGAAGAAATTGTAGTGTTAGCACAGAATACTAGAGACGTTGAAGAACTTAAGACGATGAACCCACTTAATACGAGCTCTGATGATTATACGACAAAAGTTTGTGACACAAATAACTCCCAACAAAACATTATTAAATATGACTGAATAATTTTGTTTTCGAGATAGAGCTTTACCTCAGGATATATTAATAATATTAATGTTTATTTTGTTGGAATTTTTGCACAAAGCATAGTGAAAACAAAATACCTATATTCACTAGGTTATATACATTAATTTTACCTATTTCCAGCAGCTACCCATATTTATTTCTTTCCTCTAATTGCCATGTTGCTGCAAGAAACATTAAATTTGCTTGTGTATGTTTTCCATTATTTTTACAATTTCAAACGCAGCATGTATTGTGGCCTACCGTTTCTACATGATAATTTAGTTTAGAATTGCACCAGATATAAACAATGTGACAAATATAAATCCACATTTGACGCTCCTCACCACCCACTTCGCATCACAAAGACTTGAGGTAGGAGATTAAACTACTTAAGGGATATAGTATTCGTATGAAGCCAATCCTGTCGCCAAGAATGATGTAGCTCTCGGAAATCAGCGGGCGTAGAATATGGCATAGAGCATCTGCGCATTGCAAACTGTCAACATAACCGGCCGCAATATGTGCAATGTGCATGCCTCTCAAATTTTGTCATGCTTTGTAGGTTTATTAATATTATCCAATATTTCTGCTTGCAACTCGTCCGAACTGTCAAACTGAATTGTTTACAGTCTTGATGACAGCAACAAAGAGAGATGCCACATGCTCAGTACCTGAAATTCATTTTATGCGGTGTACACACGAAAGAGACGCATTATTCACCACCTGAAATTCATTTGCGTGTACTCATTCACAACACACTCAACGAGTTTTATCTCGTATCTATCTCTTCATGCAATTTCGCAATTTTCCTTTCAGCCAACTATCACTCGGCAAATCTGACATTAGGTACCTCCTAGATTCTGTACTCTCCTGGTACACCTTTGCTTTACAGTAAATTTGTGTCTGGGGGGGTCCATACAATTGTTGTATTAAGGTTCGAGAGAAAAAACATAGGTTCGCCGAAACAAAATCGGTCAGAAAGAGGCGAATTAGATGATAAATGGAAAGGAGCAAAGTTATGAGAGTCGTAGATTCAAAATTAATAGGAAATTTCAAATATTGAACAGGCCGTTAGTATAGATAAGCTCTCCAAGGGTTGGGCAATAAGGTATTTATCTGAATTGAGTATCCCGTAAGCGGTGTTGTAAACAGAGATGCGGTGCTTTGATTGGGATGGCCGATATTTTTTTCTTCACTTGCTAGATTTCACATTCAGCTTCTTCTTTTTTTTTCAGCTTCTAGGCCGTACGTATACGTTGGAAATGCCATTCTGATACAGTTGTGGAGAGGTGTTAATTAAACATTGTGAAGCTTAACCTATCTCGTCTTTTTTAGGGTCGAGAGTACCGCTTTTTTCACTTATAGATATTCTGGACAAAAATAATTATGTTAGAGTGCTTGAAATACTTTCTTTAATTGAGGTTTCTTACATAGTACAATCAATACGAAAGCAAACCAACAATGTAAAGCTTAAAATCTAGGCAGTGGAATGACTTCATATCCCACAAGTGTTCATATTCACTCACTGTCTTCATGCCTCCTGGACTTCTTCTTTCTATGGGATCTGTAACAATAATAAGATAATCAATAGCTGCCGACCAAAGCCAAATAGAGCATTAAGGATATTGCTAGAAGCGGACGGTGTAATGTCTAGTCCAGGAATTCCCAACCAGAGGGCGCGCGTCCCAAGGGGCGCATAGAGAGATGTCAAGAGGGGCGGAAAGCGTTTGCATTTTAGAAAGAAAAAACAAAAAAAATAAACAAATAGCATTGCAATGTAATGTTTGATTTACACGCATAAAATTAGAAATTAAATATCATATTCACTTATTCTGTCAACCGCTGTTTCAAAACCCGGCGTCGTCAATCGCAGTTTATACAAGTTTTGACAAGTCACAACATGAAATCTGTGCGCACCTCCGCCGCGCTCCGCTTAACATTTATCACTCAGAAAACAATTGTGTACCTACCAGACGCGGATGAGCATCTGTGCCATTCATTCGCACAAACTTGCGAAAAATTTGACGTTTCGATGTACATGTTTTGTTGAGAAATCTGTTTGAGTGGGTCAAATTATTGTGTCTCACTGTTAAAAGGTAAGTTTGTGTATTTACAAACAATTTACTAAATTGTTGATTGGGTGGAGACGCATTCATAGATCGGCCATTGGGACTTTTTTACCACATCCCAATTAAACCAACGTGGCGAAATAATTTGGAAACGACGAACTTTAATTACCTAATATTGATTCCAAATGTATCATATTTAAAATTACTATTACATATAACGTCAACCTGCCTACAAAAACATAAATCTCCCGGTGGCCAATATACTGTTGAATACATTACGTTATTAAGATAAAATAATGGGCATATAATTAGTAATTACATGTAGGTATTTTGCTTATTTATTTATTACTTATTAATTTGTTTTATTGTTATAGGTGAAAAATGGCAGCGAAACAAAAGAAAGTTTAAGTTTACGTTAAGTTTGGATTTATCTTCAAAGAAAAAGACAAGTTACAATTGCCTAACTGTGTGATATGTATGAAAGTTTTAAGCATTGATAGCATGAAGCCCAATCGCATTGAAAGGCATTTGAAGCAACAACATGCTACTCTGGTTTTGAATATGAAAGAGTTTTTTCTTCTAAAGCAGGATCACTCAAGCGGATGAGACTGGATAAATCGGGAAGTTGTCACACAGGTGTATAGCAGCATCTCAAAGCTTCATTTGAAATAGCTTTTATGATAGCAAAGCATAAGAAACCTCATAGTTTCGGTGAAGAATTAATAAAACCATGTGTCCTGAAAGCCATGCAGATAATTTTAGGAGAAGATGCAGAGCAAAAAATGAAGTCTATCTCTCTTTCGAATAACACAGTCAAGCGTAGAATCGATGACATTGCAGCAGACATAAAGTCACAAATAATTAACAAAGTAAAATTATCGCCATTTTTTGCAATTAGTTACGATGAATCCACCGACATCATTAATTGTGCACAGTTAATAGTTTATGTTCGTTACATCGCCGGAGATATCATTCAAGGAGATTTTGTACTCCCAATCTTTGACAGCAGGTACTACATTTGAAGATATATTTAATTCAATATCAAATTTGGTTGAAAAAAATTATTTGGATTGGAAGAAACTCATTTGTCTTTGCACAGATGGCGCACCTGCAATGATAGGTGTACGATAGGGCTTAGCTAAAAAGCTCAAGAAAAAAAATCCCGTAATGGTTAGTACACATTGTGTTATCATCGGCAAGCTTTGGCTTCCAAAACATTGCAACAGAAATTACGCCAGACTTTGGACTCGGCTATAAGGATTGTAAACTACATCAAGAGCAGCGCTTTGAACAGTCGGTTATTTACTTTACTTTGCGAGGATCGCGATTCTGATCACAAAGTTCTTCTGTTCCATACAGAAGTACGCTGGCTGCTCAAAGGCAACATGTTGGCTCGCCTTTATGAATTGAAAGAAGAGGAAATTATTTTTCTTGAGTTCAAAGAAAAACACGATTTCTAGACAATGTTCAAAGATGACACATTTCAATGGAGGTTGGCTTATTTAACCGTCATATTTGACTCCTTGAATGAGCTAAACTTAAAACTTCAGGGCAGAAACAACCCTATAATAAGCAATTATGATTATATTCAGGGGTTTATATCAAAGCTTCAACATTGGAATCAAAAAGTGTCTTCTGAAAATGTTATCTTTTTCTCGGCTGTTTGAAATAACATACTGGACGCACATTTAAGGCTGACATAAAAACTCATTTGAAAGCGCCGAGACTATCGAGACATCAATTCACCAAGAAATCCATTTGTTGTCGATGTGTCACAATTACCAGACGAAGTTCAGGAAGAATTTCTAGAAATTTCGTCCATGAAAGATGACTTCCATCTTTTAACATTGGAGAAATTTTGGATCAAGAGATTGCCTGTTAATTCGACACTTGCCTCTCTTGCTTTACGAATACTTCCTTTTTCTTCAACTTACTTATGTGAGACAGGCTTTTCTGCTCTAGTCTTAATTAAAAGTATACAGCGAAATCGTCTTGATGTCGATAGCGACCTGATGATAGCTCTGGCAAAAACAGAACCGAGAACCAACCGACTGGTGCAGAACATGCAATCTTAAGTGTCTCATTAGTACCTACTCTTATTTTATTCAAGTTTTTCGATAAAAACAATTATTAGTTCATTTAAACTTTTAAAGTTTCTTTATTAGAATTAAAATAAAAGTCTTTGTACCTATATAATGTGCGTATTTTTGTATTTATTGAAAAAGTAAAGGGGGGGCATGAAAATATAATTTATAGTCTGGGAGCCTCAACAAAAAAAAAGGTTGGGAACTGGTCTAGTCATTCAATTTATTAGTAATAATGGCATCCTCTGACAGATCCTGTTCTCAAAAAATTACCTATGACTGGGGCTCCTGGACCTCGACTTGGACTTCCTCCTGCTTCTGCCGCGACTGCGACTCCTCTCCCTCCTGTGGGATCGATCTCGTTCGCTCCTCTCACGTTTCTCGCTACGAGCCCTGCTTTCTCCTCTTTCCCTTGATGGACTTTCCCTTTCTCTATCCTTACGACTGCCCCCAGGGGAGCGAGAATGTGGCGGTCGCATAGGGGAGTCAGATGATGGGGGCGGGCCTGTTAGGGTCTTCAGGTCGGATGGGGCCCAGTTAGGATTCGGTTCCGTGCCTGCAAAATTAAACGGTTCTATCGTCAGTTTTCTTGAAGTTGGTGTTGGGCGTTCCAGTCCATTAAATGATTGTAATTGTAGGGCATCTTTATGGTCTTAATTTATCTCCGGAAAGGAAAGATTTGGGTATTTCTAGATTTCTACTGTTCCGTGTCAACGTCAGAGTTGTTTTCTTTATAAATTGTAGGAAATTTCAGGCTGATAAAACGGATGATAAAAATCAAAAGCATCAACAATTTGACCTGATTGGACTGAGAGGTCGGATTCGGACTGGATTCACCACAGGATTCGTTCAATCGGACCAGGTCGGACCGAAACGACACATCTCTGCTCGATGAATCAATCATGTAATTAGAGGCATAGGCGACTTGAACGGGCCATTGTGTACCTCTACATTCCCTAGACCTCAAGCCTCGCCATTCTAGCAAAGCTGAATCTGGCCTTGAATACAAGCTCCTTAACGTTCTGGGGGTCCAAAGTGATAGTGTAGTAGTAGTAGCTCAGAGCCTCACAGCCATACAGAAAGTGCGCCGAGGTATCTTCCTCTACCCCGCAGCACTCACACAAGGGATCCTCAGCCACCCCATCACGTGCAGGTGGCGCCTTGACGTGTTATGGACAGACAACAGCCCCACCAGCAACCTCAGGTTGGCTCTATCCAAAGTAGTTTTCCCTTTTCCTGCAAACATTTTGCGTGGGCACCCCTAAAGCTGGTTCAGAACTAACGACAATCCAGAGCCTCCCTGCATTGCAATACTAGGCTCGAAGTAATCTTACAGGCACTTAGTGCATTCATTGCAGCCTGGCAGTCCGAGAAGATTGTTATTCTTTTCCTAGGCCCTCCTCCCTCCAAAATGCGGGATACACAAGCCAGAATCTCAAAGATTTCCTCCTGGAAAATAGTAGTGTATCCACCAAGAGGCAGAGATAACCTAGTTCTAGGCGCAGACCTGCCCTCACACTCCGAAGACCTTCCGGCTACCGGAGGCCCACTCCGCACTCGTTGGATTCTCCACATTAAACTTGCGATATTTAGGGGTGATCAGATCACCCCTGGTCAGAAGGACAGGCTCCTCCCTTTGCAGTTCGACTAAGCTGGCAGTGTGGCCCTTGACCGAATTCAAGAAGGCCCAGCGGCCCTGGGTTCTCAGTCGATGTGTGGCTACTCTCGCTTCAACGCGGATCACTCTGCTCGAAGTAAAGGAGCAGCAGTTCATATTCAGGCTTATAGGATCAGCGCACACTGAAGGATACCACAAACGTTCGTCATCCAACTTCTGACAGTAGCTAAATCTGATCTAAACCAAAGATGGTACAAAACAACATATTCACACGATCGCTCAGCAATAGGTGGCAGGGGTAGTGCTTATTGGTGATTTGATACTGATCGTTTCGCCTGCCGTTACTACTTCAGCCATACGACCATTATACAGCGAAATTAGGTGTTCCTGTACAGACACCACTGACGAGGTATCATCAAATCGCCCTAAGGAGGTTCGGAATACGGGCACCTTGTCTAATATTTCCGATTTCAAGTGAGCTCCGGTAGATCGATGGTCAGCGCGTCGAGCCAGTAACCCGAGGCTTCCGGGTTCGAATCTCCGCCTCGGAAGTTAATTCCTTGCCATGGATGTGTTGTCTATATCACGCACATGGTGCAATATCAACAGAACCATCTCATGGCTGGAGCTCGTTTAATATATCAGTTACCAGTAGACGGTTCGTGTAGTAGTCCAGTGTTGGTACTACGACGGTCGGCCAAAAGGGTCAAAGGTGGCCTAGTTACCAGGGTTCTCAAACTTATTTAATATACTGCCCGTTTTGAGAATAGATTATTTTCTCGCGCCCCCTGAAACTGTCGGTCTCAGGAGGGAAGGGGGTATCTGCAATCGAAAACCAAAGATCGGGCGGGGGCATCGTCCGCTGAATGAGTGCTTCTGAGAATGAATGCACTTATGACAATTTTGAAGCGAGCGGGGGTGGGGAGATGATGATTGAAGAGTAGGGAACAAGAGAAAGGGGATGGAGGCATTGTCTGCTGCAACAGTGCTTCTAAGAACGAAAGTCCTTGTGACAATTGAAGGATGGGGGATAAAAATTATCCATTGAGTTGCCCTCAATTTCCTTTAGGCTACTTACCGCCACCCCGTTGGTCCCAGCGTTCACAAGGGGGCGTTATTGCTCACTTTGAGAAACACTGACTAGAGGATAACTTAAGAGGTTTAATAAATAACTTTTTTATCATAAAATCATAAGTCTCACCTTTCGTAGGTGATTACCTTTATAAAAATAGAAGTTATTCGTAAACCCGTAAGTTGTCCCCTAGCTAACTGGCTTTTAGGGCCATACGTGTTAGTAAGACCTGTTTCAGTTCAGTGTCAAGAGAAAGTTTAAATTTTTCTAACCTCCCACTTTAACGCGAGCTAAACTGGTAAAAACGATTTTTATGGTGCAAATATTTTTCATATAAATTTATATGCCTGGATATTACAGACCATTTATGATGGTTACATTCTTAATACAAACAATGCACAATTTCATTACCCATCATTACAAGGGAGTGAAATCTAGTATCCTCAGGTAATTTCTGGCGCTGAATACAAATACGACAACAAGAAAATCGTAAATTGTAAGGGAAGGGAGTATCAGGTAGAAAATAGTTGTTTGGAACCATACACATGTTCTTGTGTAAAATTTCTAAATTGTTGCTCGTCGCTACAAGAGAATCAATCTTGGTACATTTAGATAGTTTGCAACAGCAATGCAGTGGGACCAAATTCGAGGTAGAAAATGAAACTGACAAATTGACGGATGAAAGGCCTACTTACCCCACTGCAAGTCTTGTACAGGTTCATAACCACCATAAAACGGTTCTGGCTCTGGATTGAAACCATATTCTGGCTGGAAAGTCTCAAATGAACCTGGAGGAGGCATTGAAAGATCTGGGAAGTTTGGCTTCCTGCTGTATTCCCTCCTGTCCGCTGTCATTACCTATATGTGTCCACATATATTGAAATAAAACCATTTTATAAACCAATTGTATTTTACTGAAAGTTTAAGCTTATATTGACCATCAAGATCCTTTAGAAGATGAACATAAGTAATATTATGAATATCAGAGTAAACACAACTTAGTTGTATGAATATTACAAACCTGTATGGCATTAACTTTTGGTTGATCTGATTTTGTCATTGGCATTGCTCCCCTCTGTGCACCTATAAAATCGTCATAACATCTCAGATGCATCATGCCTGATTTCAGTCTACCTGATTACAATATAGAATATTTTAATACATCTGTCAAAATAACACAAATTGCCCTTTATGTCAGAATCACTTTTTTTCTAAGGAAAGACAGAAAAGGCATACTTGTAGTGATGAGCACCAGGCAGGAGTATTCAAAACTAAATTAGTATGTTCCTGAAAATGTATAAAATTGATGAACTAAGCTCTCTTTACAAATAATAAGATGATATGTTTCATACTGAGGCTACAATGGTCTTAAACATTTGTTTGTTTAACTAATTTCATCAATTATTTCAAATATTTCCAGCAATAAATTTAATTTTGTATTCACTTGGTTGGTGCTCCCCACCCTTGGAGTCATTAAAAAAAAAACATTGCGTATTTTATTCACTTTGGCGACCTACCCACATAACCTGCAGATGCAGCTACCACACCACCTCCCACTCCTGCATATTTGCTGTTATCATTAGTAATAGGAATTGGACCTCTTAATGGTAACCCAGTAGGATTTGCAGGCACCAGACCTACACCTGATTCAGATACCCTTAACCTAGAAAAAGGATGATTGGTAACCCAAAATCTTTCAGTCAACTGTTTTGCTGCAACTCTAAGAATTTTCAAGGTCAGAAGATTCATACATGTTTCAATTTGGAGAGACCATAGCGTCTGTATATAAGACCTTTATATCAAATGATGACTGTAACATGCCATGTACTAATATTAAAAAACACAAACACAGTGCACTTGTGTTTTATCATCTTACACTCACAATGTTCATGACCCAAATGTCTTGTGAGTGGATTTACCTTTTCTGTCTCTCACAATATGCTCTCCAAGTATCTTCATTAAAACCATAATTGAAGTAATCTGTAATATCTGCACCAGGTTTTCTCCAGGGCTTGTCTTCTAATGAATCAAGATTATATTCAGTTGATGGTACACCATTTATGGTTCCAACTTGATCAAATTCCTCTACTGAAAATTTGCCTGGTTGCTGTTGTTGCTGCTGAATCTGAAATTATTAAAAAAGATAAATGCTTAGATTAAATTTCAGAATTAATAATAGTTGTTATGAAATGCTGCAACAGGTTTGGTATTTGATTTTTCAAAGAGTGATTCACCTAGCTGTAAACTTTCCATTTCTTCTAGAATATTATACAATATACCAAGTGCAGTATAAATTATTTTTGTGAATACATGGACAACCCCCAAAAAACAGTGAAGACAAAGGCATTGATATAGAATATCCAAGGATATGGCATAATATCTTCTGTCCTGGTGCCAGGGCAAGATTTTTATTGTCAAAAGTGACATGTGCTTTTGTTCTTTTTTTTTCTAGGTTTTACACCATTTTCATTGGTATGCTAAAGGTTTCTACAGACACAACTGCAAGCTTGTCCAGCATGCTTGTTCAATGTTTTTGTACAAGCTCGCTTGAATGTCTAGGGAAATGTGGTGCAAGCTTTGTAATTGTACAAACAGCTTGAGGATTGAATTGATTTTAATTATGCATGCTTGAATTAGGCGCGCTTGCGCAAGCAAAACGGTACGTGTGTACCCAAGATTTTCAAGCATGCACAAGTTGGGGTCCGTTGATGATCATATCCTGCTTTTGAATCAAAGGTGATACAAGAGACAAGGTTTTAATACATCTCTTCATCTATTCTAAGATAATTGTGCCAGTCACGCGGATATATTTTCAGCTCACTTAGTAGGTAAATGTGAGAATAGGTTTTCCCTTTTATCAACCATTCTTTACACCACACCGCACGGTTTTTTATTCGGGATTTTCTTTTCTTCACAAGAACAAAAGTGGCCAAAGCGAGCAAATCACCGTCGGAGTTCCACATATTTAATTAAACTACCTTTTTATCAAGCATGCTTGTACATGTGGCGCCGAAAGGCAAATTGTGCATACTTGTATAAAAAGTTTGAATAAGCATGCTGGACAAGCTTGCAGTTGTGTTTGTAGCCACCTTAATGCTAATTAAATTTGGGATCTTGTGCCCTAGATGTTTTTGCTGTAAATAATCCACTATCGATACCAACAAATTGAGAGGCATACTGTAAAGATAAAATGCAAGACTGAACAAATGGACCCAGGGTGTCAGACCTGCATTACTATGACACAAGTCATCCTTGACTATGCCCCTAACACCATACCCTTGATGAGGTAACTGTTTCTTTGTCACACCCTATATACCTCCATAATATATCCATATACTTTGAAGTTGAGTCATTAATTTTCAGATAATGATTGTAGAAGGAAGATAAACCAAAATATGTGTGTAAAAATAAAAAAAAAATGTTACCTTGTTTTATAAAGTATCCTCCCGACAAGTATTTCAGTGCGGACCTGTGCGCCCAAAAGCATGTCACAAAAACTGTTCGAAATGATTTCCGTTTTGCTCGACGCACAGCTGGGCGCGTCTTAGCCATGTCTCTTTACAAGCACGCAATAAAATCACTGGCTGATTTCTGATCACTGTACTCATTTCCTCAATTCGAGCACGTAATTCTTCGCGTGTATTAACCGGTGTTTTATACACTAGAGTTTTTAGCCAACCCCACAAACAAAAGTCTAAAGGATTTAAGTCCGGAGACCTTGGCGGCCAAGGTACAAAACCGCCACGGCCGATCCAACGATTATTAAATTGTCTATTTAAAAATTCACGCACATTTCTTGCATAATGGGGTGGTGCCCCATCTTGTAAAAACCACATGTTTTGTCTAATATTTAAAGGCACATCTTCCAGTAAACCAGGCAAATTGTGTTGCAAGAAATCAAAATAATTTTCACCAGTTAAGCGATTTGGTAATTCAAAAGGCCCCACTAAAATTCCATTAACAATTCCCGCCCACAGGTTGATTGGTTCAAATCGCTGTTGAAAATTGGTTTCCCTTATTTCATGGGGATTTTCAATAGCCCAAACGTGAGAATTACGTGAATTAATAATTCCGTTTCTAGTAAAGAGGGCTTCATCACTCACTAAAATTTGATTTAAAAAATTGTCATCATTTTGATGTTTATTTAAAAGCCAATTGCAAAAGTCAACCCTTTGTTCATGATCTTCCGGTTGTAAGGACTGCACTTTTTGTATGTGAAACGGATAGAACTGATTTTCACGTAGAGTTTTCCAAGTTTTATATTGACTAATCGCCAATTGAGTTGAAATTTGTCGGGTGCTTACTGTTGGATCATCACTTACTAATTCTAAAATTTGTTCTTCTAGTTCTATTTGATCGTGTGGTCTTGGAGCACCGGCATGATCTCCTCTGTGAGGTCTTAAGTCACCTGATTCACGAGCTCTTTGCACTACATTAACAAAGGCACGAGGGGTTGGTTGCACTCGATTGGGAAACCGATCCGCATAGATCCGTGATGCCTCGGCAGCATTTTGTAAAGACTCCCCGTAAATAAGAACCATGTCCACAAGTTCAGCATTTTCGTAAACATGTGCCATTTTTGATTTGAGCCTCGCAACAGACACGACAATTCACTTACGCGTTACCGACTACCGACTGATACTGACTGTATACAACTGAAGAAACTAATTGTAAAAATATCGTTACAAATTCTTTCGCTTTTTTGTTTCCGATGCGATGAACGGATAAGGCGGATTATATCTGTTGTTGCCAAACACGAGAACATAATATCATTATTGAGACAGGGCGGTACTCAAACTTCCAAAGGGCTATAACTTTGTTACTTTAATTTTACCAGAAAAATGGTAAAGGAAAAAAACATTTCTTTTGATCAGATCTACTCACTGTTAAAATAAATGACTCAACTTCGAAGTCACCCTGTAGTATAGCTAAAACAGAAAACCCCAATATTCTTGCATTCAAAAAATTATCTACGATGTATGCCATGTTTGCACAGCTATCACCAACTGTCAGTGATCATGTCCAAGATCCTGCCGTACATATTCCATTCATTCTGCTATGCTATATAGACAGAATTCACATGGCTGGATCCCAGACTTGGTAACTGATCACTGAATGAACAAACCCATAATGATTCTATAGTGGCATTTATGAGAATCCATCATAGCTGTTTTGCTATTTACTAGATATACTTTGAAAACGTTAGTGTATCATAGATAGTGCTATTGAACATATACAATCTTATATGTGGCTACAATACCATCTATGAAACACTAATCAATGATAGTACAGAAACCTGTTTGCTCCTATCACCAACAGCAGTCTGCAAGCCACCCCTCTTGATATTTAGAGAGGTATATGAAGGGGCTGTCGCTTTTATTTCCCCGATAACAACGTTCACATCGTCGTCGCTATCATCGTCTAAATCCTCCTTATCGCTATCATCTCCGTTCTGCCGGACTTCTCCATCCTCCATGCCATCTTGAACTTCCTGTCCGTTCACTTGTCGGTCACCCTTCTCGAGCTGTTCGTCATCAACTCCAGGGGGGCCATCATCGACGCCGGGAGGCCCGTCAGACAACGAATTGACCTACGGTTTACGAAGAAGTTAGGTTATATTTGTTGATGTTTATGATATTTTTGATACCTGAGGAATAGGAGTAGGCTCTTGTCTCTCTTCAGGTTGCTGTTCGTCGTTAGCTTCATTATTTGGTTGTGGTTCGGTAGTATTTTCACCGGTTTCGCCATAAAGCCACTTATCATCCTCAAAATCGTCCGCCATTTTCTATTTCGACCATACAGATTGATACAGATAACAGGCACAAACACAAAACATATATTTTGCCAAGAAATTTTATCACAGAGCACTGTATCTGCCATCCATTAAAACAAAGATTAGAAAAATGCTAGAAGGTTAATACCGTATAAAATAGGCGTATTCTAATTCGTCAACCACGCCCCATAACTACATTGAGGTGACACCTCTATTCCTGTTGATTATGCGGGTCCCACACGATGCTTCCAACGTTGTTTATATACCCTACAATTGGCCAGTGTGTCTCCTACACGATGGGATGAACTTTTTAGTCTCGTACGTTCGACGCATGGTGGTGCCAACGTCTATTATCGGTATCAGTGTCGCGCTGGAACCTTTACAACTGAAGGAAAAATTATACAGAATAAACGAGCGCCGAAAAATAATTTCAGGTCTGTCCTCAGCGACCAAAACTTAAGTCTGTCACAAGCCTTAAAAATATCGAAAAACCAAGTTTGACCGTTGGTGTTTGTTTGTCGACGATAGCTCCACCGCCACTGGGCCGATTTTCAAAAACTGCAGAGCTTTTTCGTCATTTTCATAGTAGTAACCTAGGGTCAAAATTTCATCAAAATCCTGATAGTACTTAGTTACCATTTATTTAATCTTTTTCGTTAGTTATGAAATGTAAATCAATATATTTCTCAACTAAACTTGCATTGCAACTGTACATTATAATGAAACAACTGTAAGCACTTGATAATTTATAACTTACTAAAATAAATACCCTTAGGCCAACTATAACTCACCTGCGAAACGTACAAAATATTAGCGATATGAAAAAAGTGTTATGGCATCCTATGCCTTGTATGTATACTAATTTAACCCATTCTCCTCAGAAGTTAGTTACGGAATATACATTATTATTAATAGGTAGGTATTCAAATCAAAATACTTCCCACATACCACTACTTCACCACAATCACACCAAAAAAAAAAATGTTTGTCGCCGCTACTGATTCTAACCTAAAACCATCAAAGACATGACGTCTCGTGTGGAAGCGTAACGAACCATGCTTCCAACGTGGTAACGTTCTTTCACGCGGGTCAAATTTACCGACAAGAGCCCGAACGTACCATGTTGCAATCCGTCAACGCCCTCCCACACGATGTGGCGAATGGCCATGTATCCAACGTTGTAAGGCGTTCGCCACATCGTATGGGAGCGGTTTTAGAATTGCCCTTTTTATTTATCTTGGAGTATTAGTGCGCCCCGCCTCATTTCCACTGGCATTCGGTTCACCATTTAGGGTGTATAATCCGTCAAATTTGACGTCAGCCGGGAGAGTGAAACGTCTTATGGGCGAACTGGCAACACCAAGGTCATCCTCTACAGGCAAACTCGAGGTAACTGTATTACCGACATTTCGTGACGTGCTTGCGATTGCGGGATTCTTTATCTTTATTTCTGAATGTAAAATTATCATATATTGCGTTTGTTTTAGTTAATATCGAGATTATCAACGCTGATGATTTTGGAGATATTTCGTAAGAATGAGCATAAAATATAAAGCAACATTATCAGTACCTGTGATGATATACGTAAAATGTATTGTGAATACTGTGGGGAGATGCAGAAGTTTAGGAGACTCTGTCATACCATAAAGTGCTACAGGTAGGCTGTGAACTCAACATATCGGCATGATGTACTTGGTATATTACTTAAGATTGCATGTCTGGATTCAGCCTCTTTATAATCCTTGTAGTTGGCAGCGTTGTGTAAAGTATGAAATGCTAACAAATTGAACGCATAGAACTGAGCAAACTAATGAAAACTGACTAGCTTATTTACAAAGAATTATGAATTAGATTAGTGTTTTATGTATTATTTCAGAATTATCAAGAAGCGGTACAATGAAGTGAAACACTTGTGTTTTACAACACTCAACACGAATTTGAAATAAATCTATCTATATTTTCATGTAATACAATTTTATACCATTGCCAACAGCACATGAATTTTGCTTTAAAATAAATAAATTTGGTGCTTCATAATTAGGGTTGGATTTTATTATGTTGAACCTTTTTCTCAGTAAAACTGCTGAAAGAGATATTACCCTTATTGGGGATATTTTTTTGAATATATGTTCATGAAATAATCCTTCAAAATCGGAAATATCATTTTCAGCAGATTTTAAATTGTGAACAAACGAAATCTCAAGCGCATTCCTAGTATTCCTTATTCCAGGCGCATTCTTACGATAGTTCTTCCAGATCTGCAGGCAAGTAGGCGGCGCAACCATCTAACAAAACGTCAACGGTGTTCCCATTGTTTAACGTGTAGCTCCCATTTCTTCAGTCTTATGTGGTTTGTGACGTAAACGTAAATTGTCAAATTCCTTCCAAGCACGTGTACGTGTTGAAGTTGTTGGAAAACCCGCTTTTCCCCAATCACAGCTTAAAAAGCGGAAAATGATGGCAGAAGCTGCTGGTGAAACGTTATCCAAGAAGTAAGTCGTCGGCTAAATGTACCACGTTGGTTTATAAATGCGCTGCAACGATTGTTGTTCATAACATTCCTTGGACCAAAGATGATTAGCTTTGTCAGAGGGAGATTTTTCTCAACGAATTTGAGAATTTTGCAATTATCTAAAAGGTACGTAATTGGCAGCTTGAAGTTTAACTAATTAAATGTTTATCTTCCTATAGTGAACTCAAGAGGAGGTTGAAGGCAGAACAAAAAGCAAAAGAGAAAGCTGAAAAAGCTGCCCAGCAGGTAAACAGTAATTGTTGTCTCTGAAATAAACCTTATGATTATTTTCCATATCAGGTAGCTCAAGAAGCAGAAAAGTCGCAGAAACCAACAGAAAACAAGCTCAATGAAGAGGAAATTAATCCCAATGAATACTTCAAAATCCGTACAGCTGCCATACAGCATCTTAAGGAATTGGGTGGGGAGAATCACCCTTACCCTCACAAGTTTCATGTATCCATATCTTTAGAAGAATTTATAGAGAAATACAAAGATCTGAAAGATGGTGAGGTGCTAAACAGTGAACCAGTGAGTGTGGCAGGACGAATCCATGCGCTGAGAGAATCTGGATCTAAACTGATATTTTATGATCTCAGAGGAGAAGGAACGAAAATTCAAATCATGGCCACAGCTAGACAATATGGTGATGAGAACAAGTTTGAGGAAGATATTGAGAAAATTAGACGGGGAGATATTGTTGGTGTTGAAGGTGTGCCAGCTAAAACTAAGAAGGGAGAATTATCAATTGTTCCCAAGAAACTCAAATTGCTGTCTCCTTGTGTTCATATGTTACCTCATTTGCACTATGGTCTAAAAGATAAAGAAACTAGATATAGGCAAAGGTTAGTCACAAATGCAAATAAAAAAATAAACACATATTTCATATAACTTTGAGTGAATGTATCATTGCATCTTCCAAAATTTGTATTTGGTAAGTGGTTGCTGAAATGGCCATTACTATTTATTTATTTATTTCCTCTCAACAAAAATCGTTAAATATATACTAATTTTTATACACTAACAAATCTAAAAAAAAAATCTGTTTAAGCATATTCCCCAAATGTTATCATAACTGTTAGTATCACAAATATTACCTTGAACTTGGAGGAACTTTCAAGTGTTTAAATTTTAACTCCCTTGAAAAAATTAGGTGTCCATCAAGGACTCAAGTTAACATTCATGAACAAGGCCATGTTGGAAGCCATCACTAGACAGATATTTCAAGGTCCTGCAATTTTCATGTTACATTTTAGTATACTAGAGACATAATCATCAAAGCAGTTTTATTAATATAATTATATAAATATCACATTGCAGTTTTTTATCACTTTTTGCAGAGTCCTTGTTAAAAATAATTCAGCCTAGATTGATATGCCACTCTGGTAGTGGCTCAACAAAATTCTATATAGTGACCTTGGAAATCTGAATTGCCTCCCATGAGCTGAGGAAATTATAACTGGAACAAATACAGCTTTTTTATGAACGGTCTCTGAATAAGTAATTGTGCCTTGAACCAGACATGAATCATAATGGAATTGACATATTCAGAGCTTCGTGTTAAAAACAAAGGTTTCCATTTAATTTTCTAAGCTAGACCTTCAAATTACCGTCAAGGACAAGATAATGGTTGAATCTCCCTACCAAGCAGCTTTTTGTGCTAATATAAGTTTATGATTGAACCCTTTTCAAGATAATTTTGTTTAAATGGTAATATCGTAGGTACCTGGATTTGATGCTGAACAACCGAGTGCGCAAAATATTCGAAGTGCGCGCCAAAATTATAGCTTTCGTCCGGCGTTTCCTGGACGAATTGGGCTTCCTAGAAGTAGAGACACCAATGATGAACCTGATCGCTGGTGGCGCCACTGCAAAACCGTTCATCACGCATCACAACGAGCTCAACATGGATTTGTACATGAGAATTGCTCCTGAGCTGTATCACAAAATGCTTGTTGTTGGAGGCTTGGATAGGGTCTATGAGATTGGAAGGCAGTTTAGAAATGAAGGTGAATATAGAATGATTAAAAAATCCATTTTCTCTGACTGACAGGTCTGGATCCCCACACTGCGGACCCTGAGGATGCTCAGTTACACCTTTATAAGTTATAGTCTAGTCTAGTCCTCAGATGGGAACAGTCGATGTCGTCTGACGGGGAAAAGGATTTAGTCTGATGAAATGGGTGATTACTTCTGTTTGAGAATAAATTTGCTAAGTTAATTTCACTGGCCTATATCCATTGATGCACCAGACGACACTCGATTAAAGCAAATAGTCTTGTAAAATTGACTTCCCAAGCTTATTATCACCAAAAAAACGTTTTGAACAGACTAACATTGCGACCGTAATTAATCTTCGTTGGGCGGATTAAAGGATATAGTCCAAGTTCTTTATTGAAATGCCTCGAACTGGAGCAATCTATCACGTCTTTACGGCTTTTAACATATCCACTCCACAGTCTGGCGAAATTTGCTTAACGCAAGTTTATTCATTCGCAAATACCTTGAACAGGACTAGTCCAAGTCATATACAGAGAAATCCAGATACCACTGACGTCGAAATGTGTACGAGACAAGCGTGCATTACGTATGTTAGAAAGAGATAGAAGTACCACATTGCTTAGCAACCAAAGTGACGGCGCCACGGACGCAGCTTCTCGCTCGTACACACTAATTCGTCCGTGATATTTGGATTTCTCTGTACATCAATAGTTATTTACCTAACAAATGCGGAAAGTGACACTTTTCCGCTCGCGACGGAAAGGGTGGAAAATACACTTTTCACAAGTGTTCGGTATAAGGTTTTTTCTTACATCGTGCGGAAAGTACTTACTTTCAACACGCATCTGCGTGCAGAAAGTAGCACTTGGGCTGAAAATTTATGCGTGCGGAAAAGTGCTACTTTCTGCACGCAGATGCGTGTTGAAAGTGAGTACTTTCCGCACTCTGGTAGAAAAAGGATATTTTTATGCATGTTGTTGTAGTTAATGCGAGGCGTGGTTTAAGGTTTTTATCAAAATTGGACTTAAGTCACTACACTAAAGTGTTCACATAGTCTCCAAGAGATTTTTTTTTACTGACAGACTTTTTCTTTTTTTGAAGGTATTGATCTCACTCATAATCCTGAGTTTACCACCTGCGAATTCTATATGGCATATGCAGATTACAATGATCTGATTGTAATGACAGAAACGATGGTATCAGATATGGTGAAGAGCATCCACGGTACATACAAGGTTAAATATCATCCTGATGGGCTAGAAGGTGAAGAGGTTGAGATAGATTTCACGCCTCCATTCAAACGGTATCCCATGATACCCACCCTTGAGGAAATACTGAAAGTAAGATCAAGCATTAATTAAGTAGAATATGATATTCAATGATTCAAGTAACAGGAGTAACCTTTTCATTCTTCTAGGTAAAATTCCCTCCCGCAACAGAACTGACAACAGAGGCTGTGAATAAATTCCTAAGTGATCTTTGTCTCAAACACGATGTGGAATGTCCGCCTCCTAGAACATCAGCTAGATTGCTAGATAAACTTGTAGGCAAGTATTGTTCTAAGATAGGGAGAAGAGATTGGAGAACCATTTTTTTGCCAGTACCAATACTAGAAAAATCTTTCATTATAAGAGAGTTCAGCGATGGGCAGGAAATGTTAAAATCTGCTCGATGGTCTCCCTTGTGCTGCCCTGGTGTGGGTATTTGCAGGCTGTTTTAAAAGATTATTTTTTAATTCAGGTGAATTCATTGAAGAAAAATGCGTGAATCCCGCCTTCATTACGGAACATCCTCAAGTTATGAGTCCATTAGCTAAATGGCACAGGTCCATCCCTGGACTGACCGAAAGGTTTGAATTGTTTGTTATGAAGAAAGAAGTATGCAATGCTTATACGGAACTCAACGATCCTGTCGTCCAGAGGCAGAGGTTTGAACAGCAAGCAGCTGATAAGGTGCTAACTTTTATTGTACATAATTACATATTTAAGACTAGAACAAGATGTTACCTATGATCCATGAGCCCTTTTGACCTTGAATGTACAAGGTCTGTAAATCAAGTAATGAGACTGGCAACGTAGCGGACGATCCGGCAACACTGGGTGCGCCGGGATTTGAAGGGAGTGAGGGGAACATGTGATCCGCTTTCAGTACAAGTTTGAACTCGCTCGAGTCATTTGGTTGTACGGTTGATTTGTGAAACAGTTTTTTCTACTGTGTTCTAAAAATGAGCAACATCAATTTCAAGTAATGGTGTGCTATGAGGTTTTGCTTTGGACCTGGGCACAGTGCAACAGAAACTCGTGCTAAACTTCAAAAGGCCTACAGAGATAGTGTTTTGTCTAGAGGCCCGGTGTTTCGGTGGTTTAAGGCAGTTTCAGAAGTGCAGATCGCCCGTTGGTCCGAATGATCGGGGAAGAGTTAAATTTGACTCCTGCCACCGTTCATCAGATTTTGACCAGTAAATTGGGGATGAGAAAAATCTGCGCAAAAATGGTTGCGAAAAAACCTTTCACAAGACCAAAAGGACATCGGGGAGGAAAGGTGCCTTGACTTTTTGGGTTTGATTGAAAATGGCCCCTATTTTTTGGAACCTGTCATTACTGGTGACGAGTCTTCGGTCTTTGATTTCGACCCAGGAACCAAGCGCCTGAGTATGCAGTGGGACACTTCAACGTCTCCAAGGCACAAGTTGAATATCAAATGCATGCTGATTTGTTTTTTCGATATCCACGGATTTGTTCACAAAAAGTTTCTACCTCAAGGCCAAACAGACAATCAACACTTTTACCGGGAGGCTGAAGTTGAAAAATCACCTCAAGGGAACTCATTTCAGCCGAAAACGTGTATCGCAGCTCCAGCACTGCTATGAGGAGTGGAAGAACCGTCTTCAGCGCTGGGTGGCTTCAGAAGGAGGTTATTTTGAGGGTGACCATATAAAATTGTAATTATATTTGAATAAAAAAAAATCGGTCTCATTACTTAATTTACAGACCTCGTATCTATGGGATGTTAGGAATAAATTCTTGAAAGGATGTTAAAATGTGTTTAGCTTTTTATAACGCACATTTTTTGCGACATTCCTTTCAATTAATTGGAAATTCGTGTTATTAATGATCTAACATATTGTTCTATTTCTAGGCAGCTGGGGATGACGAGGCTCAGCTGGTAGACGAGAATTTCTGTACAGCTCTTGAATATGGCTTGCCACCTACTGGAGGATGGGGTATGGGCATTGACAGGCTCACTATGTTTTTAACTGACAATAACAATATTAAGGTATTTATACTTATACTCTTTTTGTTAACATTCCTAATGAAGCTGTACCCAAAACTGACCATTTGCTTTGTCTTTTCAGGAAGTATTACTGTTTCCCGCAATGAAACCTGATGACCCAAATAAGAATAAGGATGAAGAGAAAGAAGAAAAGTGCTGATAGGTTGTTGGCAATTATTAAAAAAATAATTTATTCTATTTAAAACACTGAATCACTTTTGAAGTATTTGCTTTGACATTATGTTTTTCGATTGTAAGAATAAACTGGATCAAATCTAATGACGGCGTTTTATTCTTCATCTGGTAAAGATGGCGTCAAGCAGGTTGATTACATTTCCTACGCAAGACTGTCATCAGTTCATAAAGGATTAAGTTCAGTGTAATTTAAATTTTCTGAGAAAAAAGTCAGTTCTGAACATGTACAGCAGAGAAGTTAAACGGATTAAGTCAGTCAAACAGGCTCATTCAATTAGCCCGCTGACATTTTTCCGGTAGTTACTGTCCATATTGCAAGGTTGCCTCTTGCCACAGCTGCACGGCATCGAGTTATCGTTCATCCGTGCATGGTCCGTTATGTATTTTGTGCTGCAGTCGGGATAGATTAGTCAGCCAGACCGGCAGGGGTATTATGTAAAAAACGTCACAAAGAAATCGACGAAATGTCATCTTGCAGACTAGGTAGTTTTTAGTCTGCAAATAGTTCAGACCACGTTTGCAAAGTGCCTTTAATAACGTCTGGTTCTGATTTTGAATGAGTATAGATGGTTCCAGCGCTGATGTGCATTACGTGTATTAAAACAGTACTAATCATAGTGACTTTCCCATATACGTACGCACTTCATTTCCAGTAACCCAATTCACGTAACTTTGACTAATATGTACTCCTGTGCTTCTTTTGTGGCAAAGACGAATATCTACGCAAGCGGTAAAATGACGTGCCACCTGAAGTCATCGCCGAAAGCTGATACGGCCACTTAAGGGGTTACGCTTTTATTTGTGGTACATGAGAGAGAGAAAGAAAGTGAAGTTTAGCCTAGGCTACTCTTACACTTATCTATTTTCGTCAGTACATTTGCAAATGTACAGAGAAATCTATGATGTGTGAAATATGGCTAATAGAGGTGCATATACATATTATAATTAGCGGGGTTGGGACTGTATAAATATACTAAAATCAAACTATTTTCATATAGCCCCTCAACCCAGAAATTTCAACCCATACAAAAAAATTTCTGAAAATAATCAGGTCCCTCTGAAACGTCAAAAAACAAAGTTTGATATTATTTTTTTCGTTTTTGGCTTTTTTTTCTGCCTCCACTGGATTCAAAAACTACAAAGCCTTTTCGTCCAACCTTGTTTTTTTTATACTCCAACTACCACGAAGACCTAAGGCTTAAACACCCATTGGGTACTGTGGGGCTATAGGGGGATACAGGGGAAAGGGGGAACGCCACACGAACTCTGGCGAGGGAACTCGTGTGCACACACATTCAGACTCCGCCTACGAGATCCGCCGGGTGGTACCTCAGCGTTCGACAGTCAGAGAGGTCTACCACCTACGGACAATCACAACATCCATAGCCAAGAGAAAAATTTCTCCTGGGACGGGATTCGGACCCGCACAGTGCACGGCGACTGCTCAGGAGACCGAAGAGTCTACTACTGCGGCCACCGCTGCTGCCTCCTCAAAGCAGTGCTGGAACTCCGATACTGGAATAGGCTTCAAGCTGGTCGGTTACAGCCGTTTGAATGTTTTCTATCATAAAATGAGTTCCCTTGGGGGATTTTCCAACTTCGGGAAGAGAAAAACGTCACAAGGCTTCTAGTCAGGCGGATAAGGAGGCTGGAAACTTCCTACACCACATGATATTGTAGTCCAGACCAATTTTAGATTATGACATACATACACACAAAATTTTTGATACTTATGTGAAAATTTTATCAAAATCCGAGTAGACTTCTCAAGTTATAGATGGGTCAAGAATTAGCCGTTACACAGACCCACGGAAATGACGTATTTAAATGGTATGTAACATTAAAAAAACATAAATATGTCGTTTTCGAGGTTTCTTGCGATTACAATTCTTCCTCACTCTGTGGCGTAAGAACTAAAAGGGTTATTGGTATCAAGTGGAAGGTTTTATAAAGTGATTTTAAATAAAAACTGCTGAAAGTCTTGTCACAGCACCTCAAAAATGTAGAGTACAACTCAGATTAAAAACGACAACTCCATTATAGCAATTACTTTATTAAAAAAAGCAATCAGCAGTTACCATCAAAAAGATTCAATGGAAATAAACAATCTAAGACCACAAAAGAAAACAAAATTAAAATAGAAAAGTCATGTTTTGAGGGATTCCCTTTACTAGCATATGAACAAAGTAGAATTGTTTTTTAATGAGTATTTATATGTTCTTGTAAGGTAGTAACAAGGATCTATAGCTGTTCAAGATCACTGGGTAATATTACCAGTATTCCCACAAGAAGCCAATTAAAATAACCATAAAGACATTTTAGCTTGAACAGTATTGGGGGTGTTGACTGATATATTTTAAATGAATTCTTATATTATCACATATACATGTTTACCTATAAAAAGCCAGATACATTATGTATTAGACTTGATTTGCAATAACTTCCTGTACCACATGATATTATAGTCCAGACCAATTTTAGATTATGACATACATACACACAAAATTTTTGATTTATCCAAAGAAATCACAAGTTTTTATTAATTCTCCTAATTAAAGCTATGGGCAGTGATTTTCAAATATCTTCTTCCCCTGAACGCATAGTTGAATTGTAGTGTTCTCCTAATCTATACAAGTGCCGGTGATATGTCAACACTAACTCAGGTCCCTTGAAGGTCTCCCCTTGAAGAGTTGGTGGTCCAGATGCTTGAATAACCTTAATTGGACATTTGAGAATGTTAGAAAGGGCCCTAAGCTCTAGTTGGCCTCCCCAGAGTTTTGTTGTAGCCACATCTTTACAGTAGCTCTCAAATTGTTCTTCACTGACTATTTCAGACTCATCCAATTCATTGCACATGAATGGCATGAATTCGTCTTTGTTTTTCATGAGATAATCTGCAGTGCTCTTTCTAAGGTCATTTACAGATTGTGTGGATCTACCTGTTATTTGCAATTGGTGGTTTACTGCTAAATATAGGCAATTTCCATCTGCAGGGATATTGTGCAACTTCAGGTTCAGCAATTTCAATGCTTGCTTGATAGCATTTGTCTCCATAATTCTAGGGCCTTCTTTGTTTTTTTCAGCTTGTTCGGAAATCCTCTTATCTCTTTCCCTGGCCTCATTTTCTTTTTTCTGTCTTCGCTTCTGAGCTCTTGAGACGCGGACGTTACCCTGTGGTTCAATTTCAGTATCATCACTTTGTTCCCCAGTTACATCTTGTTCTACTCTATTATTATCCAAGCTTAGGGACTGTATTTTACTAAGTTCAAGTTTGTGTTTCTCATTCAGGTCCGCTTCAAGTTTAGCTATTTCATCCAGAATGTCTTTCTTTTTCTTTTTGTCACCTTTTGGTACACCTTTCTTTAAGCCCTGAATCTTTGCCTGCAAGTCCTTTTTTTCTTGTTTGTGCCTTTTGGACAATTCCTCTTCATCTACTACAATATCTCCTGTGTCCATGCCGAGTATTTTCACATAGAAACTTAAGATTTGAATGAAACTATTGAGCGGTTAATGAGAATATAAAACTAAGAAATTAAAGTGATTTTAGGTTAGCATAATGTCAAGAATAAAGCATTGACAAATTGACATGAAGACGAAAAAAACAAAATTCACTACTTATTAGTGAAGCTCCGCCCTTTTTGAAAGACTGGGGTAGGATTCCGTTATTTCACTGTCAAAAAAAGCGGCCATCTCGCAGTAGCGATCTAGACCACGCCCCAAAATCTATCAATATTTCCATTCTGTACAAACTAGTTCTCCGGCTGACAGATACTGTCAATGACGTCTTCAAACGTCATCTGATTTTTTGAGGTTATAGTTCTAAGTCCTTTTTCTTTAGTTTTCGATCAAAGTCCACTTTTTGCTACATTTTTCAGTCCAGTCACAAGTATTAAGTGTAGTGGTACACTAGTGCGGCTTGGGTTCCAAATAAAAAAAATGTCCAGCCTTCGGTTATTTGGAGCTCTCTCCAAAATATCGCAAAGCAATATTAAATTCAGTAACAAATGTAAGTGAAACCATACTGTAAATATAAAATAAAATGCTTACAAAATATGAATATATTCTGTGTGTACTTTGCACTTGTATAAAAAGGTGATATCTTTTATAGCTTGAATGAATATTTGGGCATTTCTCATTAGTTTCAGCAAGATGCATGTCTTCAGTAGGAGATTCAAAACACTTCAAATTGAAGGTTGTAGACAATATTGGAATCATTCTAATAGACTCGCCAGGTGTAAAGGTAAGGATTTGACGTTGCATAAAAAATTGAACCTTTATATTATAATGTGCTATGCCATATCACCTAGAATCATGTGAGCTGTTTCTTTTTCTTGCATTTCACCTGTATTATTGTTGCTATCTGTAGTATTACATAATGTGCATTTTGTTTTGGTTTGAAGTATGACTTTTAGACTCTATACTTTTTAAAAATAACGATAACATATAGGTTTACCAATGCTTTTGCAAATTACATTTGTAAAGAGTTTATCTGTGTAAATGCTCACAAGTTTGTTATAAAAAGTAATTTACAACTTATATTTTGCATAAGGAACTAAATATATTAGAAGTAAGCACAATAAAATTGATAAACAAATATATTCAGTAGCATTTATGAATGTTCCAGATGCACTAGAACAGTCTGTGTCAAAGTGGGCAATAGCGCCACCTTGTGGGCAATTGCTCATTTCGATTTTTGTAATTACTTATAGACCAGAGTCCAGTCACCACATGACCACTAGATGGCGACGATTCTAGCTGAGTAGTAGATGTGGTCTACTTGCCATTGATCAAAATAAAAATTACATGCTTTCGTCCGTCCGACCAAAGGTAGCCAACCATTGATAGCTGTTTCGTGCATTTCGCTACTCCTCAGCATGACCTAGGCTTGGGTGTCTCGGACATCGTTGCCCTCTACCGGTGACATGGGAAACGGCCCTTCAATTTGCGGACTGCGATCTATACTGTCCCAACCAGTTGCCTGCGATTGGTATTGACATATTTATGTGTGACTAGTGGTTTTTAGTCTGTACGTTTTTGCTGGCAACAATTAGGTTCTATGAATTTTCTTGTAGTCTGTTAGTAGTAGTTGTGGTAGTAGTGTAAATATTGCCAAATATTTATTACGCCAAAGGAGGTGGGTTCGATATTTCCTCAGGATTATCGTCCCATTAGGCTGCTGTTAGCTCCTTCTAAGCTCGTCGAAAAGGTGTTTTATCGCCACCTTGGGAATTTTTCGTCAAATCACCTTGTGATTCCTGACGTTCAATAGATACTAATTTAAAAGGTACTTCTTTTTTGGCTTCTGAAATTACTGAATTCCTTTCTTGAAGGAATTAAGTTTATGATCAAAATTAACAATGTTTTGTCAACAATATGACCACTTTGCTCAGGGCTCAGTCCTAGGACTGATCCTTTATTCGCTTTTTATCCATGATGTCCCTTGCCCCAGCAACAGTGAAATCTACCTCTATGCTGACGACAGTGCACTTGTCGCCCAGTCGTGTACTGGTGATCTGGTTCACGATGGGTTGCAGAGTGCGGTGGACGAAGTACTAGAGTGGGCGGAACGGTGGCTGATTAAAATTAATCATTCGAAAACGCAGGCAATTTTTTGTACCAAAAAACGTCGCGGCCCCCCAAGCAGATGTTTCTGTAGGCGGAAATCGTGTAGCATGGACAAATGCTGCCAAGTATCTCGGTGTCAGCCTTGATAAAGGCAGAAACATACAGCAGCCTTGAAAACAAAATTCCAAATTGCGTTTCGGCAACTATATCCTTGGTTATGTAGATCCTCCAAATTGAGTTTGATCAACAAAGTTCGACTATACTGTATAAAATTATTATTAGATCAGCCATTACTTATGCATGTGCATGTGTTTTTGTGCCAAGACACACATGCCTAGTCTTCATGTACTGCAAAGCAGAACTTTGCGAACAAGATGCAACACTCCTTGGTATGTCTCAAATGAGACACTAGACAGAGACCTTGATATTCCTTACTTAAGGGATTTTGTCAAGTTTCAGGCGCAGCGACGTTATAGTCAAGCGGATTCGACACAGTGGAGCAAGTTCGTAAACATTCAAGGCCACGGCTCGCACTGTGATCAAAAACTAGTGCGAACTTTTAGTAAACTCAAAATTACACCCTAACAAAACCTGAATTAAAATTTGTTTAGTTCACTTCAAATTAATCGGTGTACCAAGTCAAAAAGCCTAGGTGTTTCCTCTTAAACTAAACACTTCTGTTTTTCTTTGTTCTTCTCCTTTTTTTCCCTTTCTCTTTTTCCTTGACATTGTCTGGTTACTGGGCAACCTGTGCCGACAGATTCGACTATTACTGTACATTAGACCATGACTAATGGGCAAAGGGCCTACGGACCGCCCAGACAAACAAATGACGAATAGTATATTTAATGCTATAGGAAAAACCTTACGACATCAAGAAAGCCATATATTTGTTTTGACTCTGGTCTTTAGACAGGTCCATAAAAAAAAGGCGTCAAGTAAGTTGACTCTGTACTTTCCCTCTCAACGCTGACAGCACATCGTAAAGGATTACTTTCGGCACACGTTGGCGCTTCTGAGAAAAAGGTTAGCTACAAACATAAACAATTAATGACCTTCCTTTTCCGCATGAGAGAAATTCCTCCGCACGCACATGCTCACTAATAGGACTAATACTGCGTGGAGAACGATATTCACCTTTACAGCATACAGCCCACAGTCTTCTATTTTTTTTTCGTTTTTGTCTTTTTTCTCTACCGCTATTGGAGCGATTTCCTTTTCCGTCCTTCGCATAATAGTAACCTTTTGTGAAAATTTCATCTAAATTTGAGCGGTATTTTTTAAGTTATAGTCCTTGTTCTCCGCCGCCTCTGGACCGATTCTCAAAAACTACAAAGCTTGGCACAGTAGGCATAATAGTAACCTTGTGTAGTAATAACCGACAGACAGACAGTCAGACCGACTGAAATGAGTGACATGGTTTTCGAGATGTTCATGTACGGGAGGCCACCTAAGCAGGCGAGGTACTGTATCTGGGAACCTATCGAAATTGAAGCTGCAGTTTTGTTTACCCACGAGAGACTTCAGGAATGCATAGAGTGTGATGATCAGCATTTCCAGTCCTTTCTAGGGTCACAACTTAATAATAAAAGGAAATTCCAGAAAAATTAGTTTACAAAAATAAAAATTTGAGGGATTTCCGTATACAATTTTCTTTGGATTAAATTTTAGGTTAGGATCAAGATATCGAGATGCGGCTTTCGCGAGCTTGTTTTTTTAATAAAAAAATCATACCAATGCATTTAATTTCTTCGAGAAAATTAACCATTTCTGTCGGAATGTCGAAAAAATCCCGCTAGCGGCTACATGTGAAACTGACAAAACTTCAAATATTATAACATTTGTAACCCAGGAATAGCTCTTCACAACTAGCCTGAGTTCGTTGAAATCGGCTTAGCCATTTCGAAGTTATAGGATATTTTTTTACTTAAACCTCTGAACACTACCTTATTTTTAGAGATATACACATTGTCAAACAAAAAAGTTCAGATTATCCTTGACTTTAAAGATTTTTTTGTTAGGAATTCACTGTAACATCCCTTTTTTAGATTCAAGATTGCAATTACGCCTCCTAGGTTTTTCCAGGTTTTTCTCTTGGCTATAGTAGTATAGTAAGAATGCCGCAAGCCTTTACGATGGATAGGTATCCCAGATTCAGTAAATATATCTCACTTTCGAAAATTTTCGCGATTACAATACTTCGTCGCCAGTAGGCGTGGAAAGGAAATGTTTCAAATTCTTCAATAACTAGCAATTGTTCCGTGGACAGATGAAGATGCAAAAATGATTTGTATGTATATATAATTAATTAAAATCAATTACATTTTAGCTTTATTCAAGCTGGTGACCACATCCTCAATGAGCATATTCCAATTCAAGCTGTACTTCTCCACGTCATTTTTGGTCGAATTGAGCAGCTCTTCTGCTTCCTTGGCACTCTTCTGCAATTTCTTCACGATATCCTTATGCGCGTTCACGATCTTATCTTCCAGTTTTTCCATGCTCGGTTTGTCGAAACTCTTCTGGCTACTGTACGCATTCAGGCTATGCGAACTACGCACTACCGTGTTAGTCTCCATCTGGAGGTCATGGTCCAACGACTTGTTTCCTTGGACTTCGACACCTCCTAGTTCTTTAACCCTATCGGCATATCTGAGCGTGTTCAAACTGTTTTCGCAAGAACCGACTCCTGGTGACACCATGGCGATCATACAGGTTTTGTTGTTGGCTCCTATGAAGGAATCCCTCAAGACTTGAGTCAACTTTGAGCCTCTGAATGGAAGGTGTGCCCCTTTCCTACCTAGAGCGCGTATGCATTCTTTCAAGGTCAGCAGAGATTGGTTGATCTCCGAGCCTTCCATTTTGGTGATTTTGGAGGAGAAAAACGTGTCTGCGCCTCTTTCGTTGCCAGCTAAGTCTATCAGGGAGAATTTTCCGTGGATTTTCTTGGGGTTTCTCTTGGACCTGAGGCATATCTGGAAGACAGCATGGGATCTACTGGAATTGACGTTCGCAGAAGTCTGACCTGAAGCTCGTTCTTCGTTTCCGATTTTAATTAAATGTAATACTTCATTTACTGAAGACACAGTTTTTTCTGTCAGCCCCACAACTTGCACTTGCTGCCTTCCATCTTCCAATATTCTCAATGTTTGTTTCCCATTTAACAAATCAGATACTTTCTTGACGTAAATCTCGAAAAAGCTGCACGAAATCTCAAGCTTCAGATCTCGGTGTTTCTCCGAGTTTGCTTCTTTGAAAATGTCAGCAGCTGTTAAAGCATAAATGCCTTTTTCCTTAGCATTATCTGGACAACCACTCATCAGATATGTCTTTCCAGACCCTGTTTGTCCATAAGCAAAACATGTTGCGTATCCTCCCTCGAAAATGGTTTTTATCAAAGGTTGTGCAGTGTATTTGTATACAATATGATTGGAACATGTCTCATTGAAAGTGTAGTCGAATGTGAAGACATGATTGTCAAGATATTTCGTCAAATCAACTTTGTATTTAGGCTCATGAACGATCAATTGGTTTTTGTTTGGAATTGTGATGATGTCAATTTCTTTCTTCAGAAGATCAAAGTTGTTGAGTGGTCTCTTTCTGACAGCCACGGTGATCAAATGATCTTCGATAAAATCGTTGTATGACAAGGGACATATCTTGATAGAACTGCGATATTGGTCGATCATAGCTAGGAGCTCCCAGTGCGGAGTATTCTGATTTTTTCTGCAAATTTCATCTTTCTCCGCTTTTACCTCTGCATTCCTCCGTCGCCTTTCGATTCTGTTGTTCTCTAGCTTGCTCAACTTTTTCAACGTAGCACTTTCTTTGAATTTCGAGATGTTTTCTAAGACGGATCTCGTACCTCTGCTACTCAGGATTCTCTTACCTTCCACCAAGATGTCGTTAACAGCAGTAGTATCGTCTACGCATTTTCTTGAAGTAAGCCTCGACTTAGCGGACTGACATCTTTCTTGGCCAAGTGAGCAAAATCGCTTAGTTTGAAACGCCTCACCTTCATCTATCGTAGTCAAACTTTCGCAGTGGTTTTCACGTTTTGTTGGCTTGCTGATTACGATTTGTGGATTAAGTGCTACAATGTTTGTGAAATGAATCTCTTTGCCTTTGGTTTCGCCATTTTCACACCACTCCACTTTGACGGACTGCGATTCGTATTCTACCGATGACACTATGGCTTGGTGTAATCTACCGTCGCTTCTTTTTATAGTGATGCTAATTCCTAAGCCCAGTTGGTTCATGATAATTATTCCTTTTCGCAAAATATATATATAGTTTTGACACCTGTCATGATCTTGACAAATAAAAATGGTCTTGGGATGCAAGATGTGTAGTCGATTACAGTTTTGCACCGACTTATAGTCCGGTAGAGAGAAGCGAATTTTTTGAAGGGGTTTTGAATTGAGAGCAGATTTTGGTGAAATTTTGACGATTCAGAGACTCCTGAGTCTTGACAATTTTTTTGGCAGTTGGGGTTGGGTGTGGTTGTATCTCAATTTTTTGCGGTTCGTAATATATTTATGCGATTCTAACTCACGGTAATTCTACTCATCTATCAGACATATCTCACGCATGTTCCCCTATATTTATCTTTGAGGCTTAGAACGAAACAATGAAAAGAGAAGATAACTTTGTCGCAAAGGAGACAGGGTATATTGACAAATTGGCAAGAAGAACATTTTTCTATATTAACTACTCTGAATATTTTTGAAGAGCAGGAAGTAGCAAATTTTCTCAGGGGGAGCCAAGTCTTAAAATCAGCACACAAAATTTTGCCGAATATTCAAATTTTTTAATTTACCTTGAATCGTGGAGGAGGGAGGCAGAGCTTGGGGGTTATTGGCTTATTTGACTGACTTGTTTCACTGAATTTTTCTGTTATACGTTTTCCTAAGAGGGGTAACTATGCCGAAACATAATATTTTATGAAGTGATAACAGTGTTGCTTGGGAGGTGTAGAGTCAACCTACTTGAAGTCATTTTACTTCTCACGCTTACTAGCGATGAAGTATTGTAATGACAAAAAAATTCGAAAATGAGATATTATGTTTCTTAGGTGTTATATGACATACACAAAAACCATGTCACTCAATTCCGTCGGTTTGTCTGTCTGTCCGCTATCCTTGGATCGTCCATAACTTGGACTGGTCAGATTTTGATGAAATTTTCACAAAAGGTTACTACTATGCCAAGAATCGAAAGGCTTTATAGTTTTTAGTTATAATGGGTCCAGTGGCACGAAAAATGGCAAAAATTAAAAAAACAAAAATCACTCAAGCTTCGTTTTTTGTCGTTAAAGAGGATCCTGATCAATTTTGAAAATATTTTTAGGGGTAAAAATAATTGGGGAAGGGGGTTATAGGGTTTATACGCTCCCAACCTTGGTAGTTCTACACACCTATTAGACATATTTCACACATCATAGGTTTACCCGTAGATTTTCCCCTAAAAGCAGAATGATAGAGAAATGCTTTTGATACGCGTCACAGCTTTTGCTGTCTGGGATTACCGGCGAGCGTACTGCAGGAGTACGTAACTTGAAAAGTGACATTATGTCGTTTTTTACACACTATATAGATTTTTTTGTGGCATTATGTAGGTTTTTCAACAAGACGTCAACATTCAACTAGATGTCGTTCACTTGGAGCAACCGCGGAATGAACTATTTGTACACTTAGTCAATAAGTTGACATTCTATCGTTTTTTTATGACATATAGGTTTTTACGTAATAACCCTGTGGTTCTTGGCAAGTGTTCTGGCCTTCTGGCGTTCTAACGCGTTGAGCCGTCAGGTTTAGGGTAACGCGACGTGGCCAGATCGACTACCGGTAGGACAGGGAAATAATATCTATGGACTAAATGTGTGGGCCTTTTTGACTCATTTGATCCGTTTAATTTTCTAGTTATAGATGTTCGTAACTAAATTTTTCTCAGAGAGTCTAACTTGTACTGAACACAATCGTTTCTTTGTGAACCGATGACGGCGCGGCGTTGCGAGGGAAGTGCAGAGTCAACTTACTTGACGGTATTTTTGCTATCGACAACATGGTTGCTACACTGCGTATTCTGAAAAACGGTGCTATATTCTTGGGAGACCAAGCAAATATATCTACTTGACGATTTTTTCGCTTAATAGGTAAACTCGCTAAACGATGAAGTGATGTCCGAACTGGACAGACTTCTACCCCAGATCGAGTCTAGCCCCCAGATCCAAGCTTGCGTGATGATCTCCGCTAAGCCAGGTTGCTTCATTGCTGGCGCTGACATTAGCATGCTCGAACAATGTAAGACAGTGGAACAGGCTACGCAGAAGTCAAAGATAGGCCAGAGGGTCCTGCAGAAGATAGAAGACAGCAAGAAGCCTTTCGTAGCCGCCATTGCCGGAAGTTGCTTAGGAGGGGGGATGGAAGCTGTGTTGGCCGCACATTACAGGATAGCTGTCAAAGATAAGAAGACCAATTTGGGTTTGCCAGAGGTTATGTTGGGATTGCTACCAGGTAAAACATCCTTTAAGGATGTATCACTGTATACATTCCTTCCTAGTTCTCATAAATTAACGTCACGTATTTCTGAATGTCTGTCCTATTCTTACCCTCTTGCGGCTAAGCCTGTCACATCCATTGTGACCTCAGCCTTACGTGGGAAGTTAACGTTCTTCCAAAATATTTGGTCTAAAAAAATCTGTACGGTTTTATGGCTTACATGGAACACTTAGGAGCAATTTCATATCGAATAAAAAAGTTACAACCTCAAAAACTTTCTTCTACTATTTATTGTTTTTTAGGTGCTGGAGGTACCCAAAGACTCCCAAGATTAACATCTATCCCCACAGCTCTGGATCACATACTCACTGGCAAAACCATGAGAGCAGACAAAGCTAAGAAGTTGAACGTCGTAGATCTTTTGGTCGACCCATTGGGCCCGGGAATGGATCCTGACCCAGATGTTAACACCAGGAGGTATCTTGAAGAGGTAATTCACTCACAATTGGATAATAATACATTTGTGACCTGTGTATGTTTTTAGGTCGCAGTACTGATAGCAAAAGAACTAGCTTCTGGTAAGCTGAAACCTAACAGGCAGAAGAGTCTACAGGATAAGGTGTTAGCATATGCTTTGCAATATAACTGGGTGAAAGACAAAATTTTCGGCAAGGCAAAAGAGCAAGTAATGAAAATGTCTGGTGGACTGTATCCTGCACCATTGAGGGTAAGAAAAAAAATGTTGAAAGCCGTACAAATATAACTAAAATTACGCTCTTTTGAATTTTTTTTTTTTTTAGATTTTGGACGTGATCCGTAAAAGCGTGGATCATGGAGAACAGGTCGGACTCGAAGAAGAATCTAAAGCTTTTGGTGAACTTTCTCAAACACCTCAGTCCAAAGGTCTCATAGGATTGTTCCGAGGACAGACTCAGTGCAAGAAGAACCGATTTGGCAAGCCAAAAACCAATGTAAGCAGAACTTAATTACTTGAAAAGAGTATACGCAAGGCTGTAGCCACAATTTGGTATGGCATCGCGAATTTTTTTCAGTGGTTATTACTGTTTCTAAGATACGACGTCAACGGCGTTTTATCTGATCGTTTTTAATGATTGTTTTTTTGTAGGTGAAGTCAGTTGCCGTTCTCGGAGCTGGTCTTATGGGAGCGGGTATTGCTCACGTTTCAGTTGATAAGGGATATCAAGTAATTTTGAAAGATATGAATGAGGCAGGTTTAGCTCGAGGTGTAAATCAAATTCAGACTGGACTAGATGGTGCTGTTAAAAGGAAGAAGCTTACAGGGTAAAAAATTAAAAACACTTTACTTATATTTTTGTTATAGTTCTTGTCGACCTCAATTTTATACAAATGAACTATTCGTTATTTTTCAGACTGGAAAGGGATAGATTTATGTCGAATCTAAATGCCACCCTCAACTATGATCATTTGAAGAGAGCAGATATCGTGATAGAAGCTGTATTTGAAGACCTAAACATCAAGCACAGAGTTCTCAAAGAGACAGAAGCTGCTACCCCTCCACACTGCGTGTTTGCATCAAACACCAGCGCTATTCCTATAAGCAAAATCGCAGCTGCTTCTAAGAGACCAGAAAACGTCATTGGTTAGTATCAAGACCTAGAAATCTATCTGTCGTCTGTTTCTGATTTGCGCGATTTTGGATAATCAATGTTTATATGATTGTTTCCAGGTATGCATTACTTCTCTCCAGTAGACAAGATGCAACTTTTGGAAATCATCACCACGGACAAAACAAGCAAGGAAACCACAGCAATGGCAGTTGACGTTGGCTTAAAACAAGGCAAGGTTCGTATGAAGATTAATTGTGTCTTATTCGATTTTTGAGTTACACAGCTGGACCCATAGATTATCATTACACTCCTGTATACTTTCCAGAATCTGTGGCAGCTCCATCTGACGGAAACGGTTCTAACCCACAGTAAGCGATAATTATTTCTGAATTTTGAAAAGATGTTTTTGTCCTTATTCTGAGATCTCTAAAACAAGTGAAATGTAGTATTAGCCCTTGATTTTGCTCAGAATTGAAAACATATTACTGGGATGACACGTAAAAAGTGCTAGTTTTCTATTAAAATTTAATACGCTTCTATTAAATTATACACATTTGCAATCGATTTCAAGTTACTTGTTTTGTATTCGTAATTCATCAGTATTAACACTAAAGCAGTGCTACCTAAACTGTGGGCATCCAATGCACTCTTCTCGTAGCAGACGTTATCACTTCGCTTCCAATTTCAGGCGTTCGTGGGCGCCACTTTCCTAGCTCCTTCTGACTTTTCTGACGTTGAATTAGCTGCAGACACACAACTCTGCACAATCAAAAACACTCCTTTTGGCGTTGTGAAACTATAACATCTCCACGTTGCACGCACTTCCTCCATGCTCGAAATAACACTATGGAATCTTAATGTCTTACACAGGTCCTGCCTGATTCTTACACACATTAAGTGGCTATAAAATCGTGATATTTCTGTGCCTGAAAACAACAGTTTTCCTGGTATCATATGACACTTCTGACTCTTTGCCATTAACAATAATGTTCTTGAAATTCCCATCAGTGATACCACTATGCATATTAAACACAGTTTGGAGCGCTTTCTTCAGATGACGCAGGATCAGAGGATAGTTCTTACAACCACTAACTGGGCCCATAACCTCAACCGAATGATCTTGACCACTCAAAACTTTTGACGGTTGACATTATTGACAGTGACATCAACCTATGATTATGAATTATCCTTTTTGTTTGTTTGGAGCTGCTGAGACTTCACTCGATTCTTATTTAGGTAGTGATAACTGTTGGAGACGGTCCAGGTTTCTACACCACCCGCATCCTGTCCGCCATGATGGCCGAGTCAGTCCGGCTTCTACAAGAAGGAGTTGACCCCAAAGAACTGGATTCACTGTCTAAGAAGTTTGGATTCCCTGTAGGTGCTGCCACTTTAGCTGACGAAGTAGGAATCGACGTTGCTGCCCATATCGGACCCAATTTAGCTCAGGTAAATCCCTAAATAGAACACAAAACAGTAAGGAGTTGCGACTCATTTATACATTTTATGCAATGTAAAATATTTACTCATATATGCGTCTCGGTTATTATTGATACTTCATCCGCTAAGGGTCACAATTACAGACTCTCCTTAAGGTTTGAGTGTCATTTGACAAATGATATCGCCTTAGATTTTACACAAATAACTCTTCTTTGAGGATCGTTCAAGGGGGAATTTAACATTTCCATTTCACAGCAGGTTGTTGACAGCTGTCAAAATTTAAAAAATTGCACGATTTTTGACATTCTAAACATGAAACTAATAAATTTTCAGGATTTTAAGAATTTTCATGATCTTCAAACCATTCAGAAATTTCAAGATATAATCTACAAAATTTTGAAATTGAAGATTTTTCGCAAATTGTTGGTTTTGAAATTTCTGAAATATCGAAAATTGCCACAATTCTGAAAAATGTATCAAAGATTTCAAGATTTTCACTATTTTCAAAATTTTCGTGGTTTTCAGAACTTCCCAAAATTTTGAAAATTTTCGAAGCATTCAGGAATTTCAAGATACTCTTATTCCCAAAATTTTGAAATTTAAAATTTTCACAATTACCAAATTTTGATTTTTAGAATTTGAAAATTTTGTTAGTTTTGTAATTTTTGAGATACCAAAAATTGTCGTAATTTTAAAAATTTTAGGATTTTGCAATTTCAAGAATTTGAAATTTTGAAGTTCAATATTTTGAAAAGTCTTTGAAACGAATTTTTTGAAACTATTGGCGATCCTAAAACTTTTGAAGATTTAGGAAATTTAAAAATTTTGTACACGTTGAAAATCGATCAAATTACGAAAATTTATAAAATTTTCTAAATTTTGAAAAGTTGTGAGCACAAAACACAAAAAAGTGTTGTTCAAAATCCAAGGAGAGATCATTCATTAACCAGTACTCAATCCTTGAGGTATGAACGCCTATAAATGTGACCCTGAATGTTGGATTCTTTGAAGACAAAGTTTTTTAATTTGTTTCAGGCGTTTGGTGAAAGGTTCAGCGGCGGGGATTTGGGTGTGATGCGCGACATGGTCACAGAGGGCTTTCTTGGCAGGAAAGCTGGTAAAGGCATTTACATGTATGAAAAGGGCAAGAAGAGTCGTGAAATTAACCCAGGAGCACTTGACGTCATCAAGCGGTATCCTCTTGCTCCAAGGGGGAGCTTCGAGGCTGAGGATAAGACTATGAGGATGGTATCAAGGTATATATATGCTAAAATTACAAAATTAGTTTATATAACTAATATTTCGGGATAACGTAAGTGCCTTTTTAAAAAATATTTATTTCCGAAAATACAGTAGTGGATGGTACGAAAGTTAGATTAAGACTAAATTTTAATTATAGAAGTACAATGTTCGTTAGCATGAGTAATACAGGAAACATATCATGTTGCATTTCAACGGTTGCTAGGCGCTGCGATGATGTGCTGACTTGCATTTTCTATTTTCTAGCTTCTACAGGGTAGCCCTATAACTCCTCCACCCCTAGAATGAAGCTTCTCCTGGAAGATTCAGTTTCCTGGAAGGTAGCTCGATTTCTTCTGTATCATTTGTATGTGACTTCCTTGGAATTGGAGCAGGATGTGTATGTGCATTCTTATTCTTCTTGAACTTTCGATAAATAAGTAGAATGCCCAGAGACGTGAATAACATGTACAAGATAATAGTCCAAGCACTGGGTGTGATATAATCGATTTCTTCAGATTCAATTGGGTTGAATGACTGTACTGGAATATCTTTCATTTTTAAAGTCCTTAGTTCGATTTCAAACTTCGGCTTTTGATTTTCCGAAATTAAAGTGAAATTTGGCGTTTCCATGACTAACGGCTGGCCAAAACTCTTGTCCAAAAATGTAATCGCTTCGTTTCTAAACAAGATTGTGCAGTTATCTTGTGATATCAAGTATATGCCTGATAAGAACTTTAATTCTATTTGCTTTTGACAATGGAATTCTAGCTTTTCTTGTATTGGAAAAACGGCTAAGTACTGGTTGATCTCTGGTATAAGTTCAATGTGATTTTCGATAATCTTGACTTTGGTAAAATGACAACTGTTGGCGTTCCCATTTTTCAAAATGTTGGCTTCACAGGATATATTTGTACTAACTTCGGCTTGACGAGGACAGTGGTATATATTGCTTTTGGTACAAATGCCACTTAGAGGTTTGATTGATTGTTTATCAATCGATGCCAAAAAGTATTCGAAATTTGGAAAAATCGACATGAATTCTGACCCATATTTTGTAGGTATTGGGTGCATGTAATACAATTCAAATGTATCGTTGAAGTCAATTGGAATAGATAAGAAGTAAATAATTTGATTGAAATCAATCTTACAGTGTACCTTTATAAGTGATTCAAAATCTAACATATTTTCGAATTTGACATCATAAGGAAGCATATTTTTATAATAGGAAGATAATTTCAAAAGTTCCTTATGTAATTCGCTTGGTCTGATAATACTCGGGTGCATAACTCCTAACTTGCAGAATGTAACAGAATTTTCAATATCTTGCAACGTACTGAGAATAAAATTGTAAAGCATTAAAAGTGAGTGATAAATGTCCTTTGCAAAAAGAATATTTTCATTCATAGTGTTTGCATACGCAATTTCGTTCAGTTGCAGTATTTTTGACTTTAATAGATTTTCATTGTGATGAATATTTTGAAGAGTGAAGTTAAAATTTTCGATCAGCTCGTGGTTCACAGAATACTGTAATTTTAGTTGATTTTCAATGCTTTTCTCATTGTTCTGCATGTGATTAATAATTTTGTAAATTTTTTCTCCGTCATGTGAATCTAAATTACCTGTTATGAATCTAACTACACTACCAATTCCATTAAATAAACCTCTACGTGATCTATTATGGGCAGTATAATGTATACGAATATTTTCTATTTTTCTTAAAATAGATTGTTGAGTAATGTTAATCATTCTATCATAATCTTCGAAATCTGTACCATACTTATAAATCTTAAGCTTAAAATTATCGTATTGGTTATTTAGCTTATTATATTCCTTATATAAATCTTCTAATCTATAATAGTGTACGAGGGTATGCTCGGAAATTTGGAGTTTAGCTGGTCCTAAATTTATTGGTAGTATCCCCAAATTTTGGCTGATATCCTTTATTTGGATGGCTTGTGTGCTGGTGAAGTTACGTTATAAAGCAATTTAAGAGGATGTCTGTCATATTTTGTAACTAGACATGTTTCGCATTGATTAATAAAATCTCTAACAGTATTGAATAATTTTGGAATATAATAATGTGCCTTAATTCGCTTTTCAGTTTCTTCGATACCTCTGTGATTAGTTTTTCCTTCATGGTGATTTCTAATAATTGATTCTACTTCAGTGTCGTCTGTGATATCAATTAATTTCTTCGTGCACTTTGTCATATTGATTTCAGAATTTTTGAAATACTTCTGTAATACAGAACAGAATTGTTCGTAAATGGGATCTTCAAAGTAAAGATGATATTTAATTTTTGGTGCAACATATTCCTTAATAAAATTTACCATTTCTTGTTCATAATTGTCTTTAGAAAACTGAATAAGTATTCTCTGCTTATCCTTGAATAATTTTATGATAGAAGGTTCAGCGGGTGAAAAATTTACTTGTGAAATAATGATCTGATTTTTACCATAGTTGACTGGAGTATCAGTTATTGGTATTCCTATAATTGGATGTTCGTGGCTAGAATGAATTGTTTGATCGGTTGATTCTTCAATATCTATATCGATTTGGCTATCATTGGCTTCTACTATCATTGGTTGACTATCATTCTGATCTAAATTTTGATTACGTGTTTGTACACCGGAAGTGGATGCTAATTGACTATTGAATTGGTCAATAAAATCAAAAATTGGAGGGTTGTCGTGTACGTTCTTGGTTTCATTAGCATTGAGCTCAATTCTAGACAATGCGTCTGCGTTTTTATTTAATTTTCCTTTTTTATAGACAATTTTGTACTCATATTGCTCAAGAGATAATCTCCATCTGATTAGTCTTGAATTTGGTGATCTATGATTCATTAAATATTGTAATGGTGCATGATCTGTAACGATCGTGAAGGTTCTACCGAAAAGGTATGGTCTGAAATATTTAACACCGTATATTATAGCAAGAAGTTCTTTTTCTGTGGTACTATAATTAATTTCGGATGAGATTAATGTTCGACTCGCGTATGCTATAGGTAAATCCGATCCTATTTTTCCTTGGCTAAGAATTGCAGAAATTGCATAGTTACTAGCGTCTGTTGTCAAAATAAATGGTTCTTCAAAATTTGGATATTGTAAAATTGGCTCATTCATTAATAAATTTCTACACGTGTCAAAACACTTAATATATTCTGGATTCTTGTAATCGATAGTAGCATCTTTTTTCAAGCATTTTGTCAAAGGCTTTGTTAATCGCGCAAAGTCCTTAATAAATTTTCTATAATATCCCAATAATCCTAAAAATCCTTTAATTTGTTTTGCAGTTTTCGGTAATGGGTATTTTTGAATAGCTAAAATTTTGTCTGGGTTCGGTTTTACTCCGTCTTTGGTTACTACATGTCCTAAATAAGCAACTTCTTTTCTCAAGAATTCTGATTTATCCAGCTGAATTTTGAGATTTGCCTGTCTTAAACGTTCGAAAACTTCTTTTAGCCTTTCAATATGTTCTTGTAAACTTGTGCTAAAAATAATAATGTCATCTAAGTAAACCAAACATTTTTCGTTTTGAATTCCACGCAAAATATTATCCATAACTCTTTGGAAAGTGGCTGGTGCATTCTTTAATCCAAATGGCATTCGCAAAAATTCGTAATGACCATTTTCCGCATTAAAAGCTGTTTTCTCGATGTCTTCTTCAGACATTTCAATCTGGTGAAACCCGGAAGCTAAATCGAGTGTCGTAAAGTATTGGCACTTGCCTAATTTATCTAACAAATCATTAATATTTGGAAGGGGGTATTTGTCTCCAATAGTTTTTTCATTGAGCTTTCTGTAATCGATGACTACGCGCCATTTTCTTTTACCGCTAGCATCGAACTTCTTCTCTACTATCCATAATGGAGCACAATATGCTGATGTTGAATGTCTAATAATATTCTGGTTAAGCATTTTCTGAATTTGATTTTGGATTTCTTTTCTGTGTATCTCTGGATATCGATATGACTTAGTATATATTGGTATCTCGTCTGTAGTTCGAATTTTATGTTTAATTTTGCTAGTAAATGTTAATTTGTCTCCTTCAAAATAAAAAATGTCGGAATAATCTTTAATTAACTTCATAATCGCATTTTTCTCTTCGAAATTCATATGTTCCGTTCTAAATTTAGAAAAATCGATCTTAACTTGATCTGTACAATAATTATGTAAATTAGTTTCACTGATTGTAGTAGCCAACTCGTAATCCGCGAACTGATCTACTCTCAATGGATCTAAATTACTTATTTTTATTGATGAATCGTTCGGATTCAAAATAGTGCAAATGGCTTTTCCATTTTTCACTGTAGCAATACACTGCGGTATTTCTAAATTACTTATCCTTGTATAAGGAATAACTACATCACCATTTGTGATATTTGAGACTTGGATCTCGATTATTTTCTCTGTACGAGGTTCTACTATAATACAATTTGAACTAGGTAATGTTTTATGAAAATGTATCTTCGTACTGGTATTTGGAAGTACCAATGTTTCATTATCTAGGTCAATAAATGCTTTCATTAGTTTCAAGTTATCGACTCCTAATAAACAATCAAAATATTTGTGAAAATTGAAAAGATAAAACTTTAACTTATTGTTCACTTTTGTGTTGAACATATCAATAGAAGGTATTGTAGTACTGAAATTTTCAGTTGAACTTCCATGAACCGTGGAAATTTGAAATGGATCCTTTTTAATCGAATCTTTAAAATATTTATCCGCAATTTCTGGACGAATGAAACTTTTCGTACTACCTGTGTCTATCAATATTTTCAAATGTAACTTAGGAAAAATAATGTAAGGTAATTCACTATCGCTATTTGTATTCATTAGCTCATAATGAGGCATTACTGATCCGAGGCTGTTTGCCGAAAAAATTGATCTCCATCGTTATCTTGATTCGAATCATCAGGTTCGTTTGGGTAGTCAACCTGTGGCTCCTGGTCTATATTAAATAATTCCTCAACCACGTAATTGGGTCTCGAATTGTTGTGATTTACAAAATAATTGTTATTTGGATTTCTTTGGTACGATTGATTTTGCTGAGGTCTGAATGTATTTCTAGTTGATGTCGACATAGGTGTAGGTTTAGGAAACGATTGATTTTGATTCGGCCTAAACACATTAGGTTGCTGTGTTTGTCTAGTATTGTTCTGGCTACGATGATTTTGGTTATGAGGGTAATTAGTAATAGGTAAGGGTGGTCTAAACTGTGAGTTTTGGAAATTTTGAGGATTTCGCTTAAATTGATTTGCCTTCGGATGATGTTTTTGACCAAACTTCAGTTTAAATTGATTTTGTTGTACTGCCTCTAACTGAAAATCATTCGTAAGCATGTGCAAAGCTTGATTGAGATCTTCTGGGTTTTTTGTACGCATTAAAGATCCAATAGGTTCCTTCAAACCTCTTAATAAAATTCTTAAAGCTAGATTTCTACAATAGTTATTAACTATTATAGCTTCATTTTCTGGTAAGTGTGATACAGAGTATGAAATTTGTAAATTTAACAGATGTTGAATCCTATTATAAAATACAAAAGGGTTTTCGTTTTGATTTTGCCTTAATTCTACCATCTCTATATTCAACTTGAAAAGATCGCGCTTATCTGCATAAGCATTGAGAAGAGCATTTTTTAAATCTTGCCAGTTTTTTATGTGAGACGAAGAAATATTAAGTGCTGCGTCACCTTTTATTTTCGCAAGCAAACTTGACATCAAATATTCGTTTTGAAAGTCCTCTGGATTTGTTGCATTATAAAATTTCGTGACTAATTTCTCTGAAATTTCAAGAAATCTGGGTAATAATTCTGGTTCACCATGAAAATCAGGAATCATGTGCAAGTATTCCGGTTTTAGGAAAGGTACATTGTTTGAACTAGTAGTCATTGTGACGTTACTTAATTGATTTTCACTGATAATAGGTAAATTCAGAATTGGTGATCTAAAAATTGGTCTTGAGAATTGAATATTCGAATTAGCTATTGGTGAGTCAGAATCCGATTCCGCGCTATCACTGCTATCAGAATTAATATTTTCGAGTCCTCTAAAAGACATTAGGTACTTACAGCAATACCACTAGAAGTTCCATGCCCTGTATGCTGCAGAGTAGAGATTCCGCCGTGGTCCAATATTCCTTTGGTCCTCTGGTCCGATATTCCCTTGGCCCCTTGGTTGACGTCTTCTCACTTGGCTACTCGATCCACCAAGTTGGAATTCCTCTAGATGGTTGAGTCCACGCGACCGACCGAAATTACCGATTCGCGAGACTTTTTTTTCGGTTCGTATTTGGTTAATCGTTCGACGAAGGGTGGTTTATAAGCCGTAAACAACCCCCAAATATCCTACTGGCTGCGCCACTAATATTTCGGGATAACGTAAGTGCCTTTTTAAAAAATATTTATTTCCGAAAATACAGTAGTGGATGGTACGAAAGTTAGATTAAGACTAAATTTTAATTATAGAAGTACAATGTTCGTTAGCATGAGTAATACAGGAAACATATCATGTTGCATTTCAACGGTTGCTAGGCGCTGCGATGATGTGCTGACTTGCATTTTCTATTTTCTAGCTTCTACAGGGTAGCCCTATAACTTATATATATATATATATATATAGGTCACGAAGGACTGCTTTTTAGGTACACACCGGGAAATTGTCTGATTAGGAAAAGTTGGGCACTGTATTAAATGTGTCGTCCAAAATCATTATTCTACTTCTCACGTCAATTGGCGCAGAAATATTAGAAATACAAATACGTAATGTTTTGAAATCGAGATATGATTTTTTGTTGTATGGTATGTATATCAGTTGTTTCCGTCAGTCTGTCTGTTTGTCGTCTGTCCCCTAATTGAGAAAGTACTGTTCGGACTTTGATGAAAGTTTTGAACAAGTCTTACTACCATGCCAAAGGTGAAAAAGCTATGCAAGTTTTGAAACTCGATCTACTAGCGACGTTGTTACAAGCTAAAAATAAAAAAAAAAAAACGCACACGCAACACTGTCACAAGTTCATGATTGATTATTATAAGAGGAAAGTTAACTACGAATATGTATGATACAAAGAAATAATTAAATGAACAAGTTAGCCAAACGAGCCCATACAATTAGTCTATAGTTCCAACCCATTTGATGATGTTGCGATCTACAATTTTTTGCCTTCTCTTACTAAAGTATCGACCGTCTGGCAACGTAGCCAGAAAGCTGGCTAGCTGAACCAGTGTGGCGGTGAGAGATAAGATGGCAGCGTCATGCACAGTCAGGATAAGTTCGTAGCTTACTGCAAGTGCGACCTAGACGCGACAAGTTTTGGGAGCAAATGTACGTGTAAATCTATGATCTGCGCAGAATTAGTAGGGTTGGAAGCGTATGAATATACTACGATTAGCGCAAAAAATGAAACATACTCAACTGCAACCCTAGTCACTAGTTTTTAATCCTTACAAAGATTTTTCCGAAAATGGTCAGGAGCCTCTAAAACGTCAAAAAACGAGGTTGAGAGATTTTTCTTTTTTTTTGGTTTTCTGCCCCTCGCTCCGCTGCCACTGGACCGATTTTCAAAAACTACAAAGCCTTTTCGTCCTTGGTATAGTAGTAACCTTGTGCATTTTATCAAAATCCGATCTGTACTTTCCAAGACAGATCGATGGAAATGAGTGACATGGGTGATTTATATATAATATAGCATCCAATCATAATATTTCAATTTCGAAAGTTTTTGCTTTTACAATACTTCCTCGCCAGTTGGCGTGGGAAGTGAAAATCAATTCCCACAACTTCGTATATGTTTTTCGAGTTTCTGGTCATTATTGATATATTGAAAGTAGTTAGAACATTCTTTATTGGTCTAAATTTGTTGAAAAAAAATCATTTTCCACTTTGGGCTTTCTAATCACTAGATATCTCAAAATGTAGGAGGTTAGCACTTTCTATATCGGACTATTCTCACATTTCACGTACAGACTTAGTCCATTTGATTCTAATTGGTCTTGAGTAATTTTGTAATTTTGCAGATTCGTAAACGAAGCCATTCTGTGCCTTGAAGAAAAAATCCTGGACAGTCCCCTAGAAGGTGACGTCGGCGCAGTATTCGGCCTGGGTTTCCCGCCATTCACAGGCGGCCCCTTCCGTTGGGTCGACCAATACGGGGCCACCAAACTAGTTTCCAAGCTGGAACAGTACCAATCAGCTTATGGTTTGCCGTTCAAACCAGCCCAAACTCTTTTGGATATGGCCAAAGATTCTAGCAAGAAGTTCTACCCGAGCTAAGAAGATACAAGATCAGACGAAGTCTGGAAGATTCGTTGCGAAATGTTCGATTTGACTTCTAGTTGGACTGTCTCAGTGCTCAGTGCCTGGGTCTTCTTGCACCGATCGTACTATTTTAGATTTATTATTTTATTGGATACTTTTGTACTACTTATCGTTATACCTGCGATACATTTATATTACCTATGTTATTTTTTGTGTATATAAAAATAAATTATATTTCTCATTTAACTGAGTTTAATTATAGTTCAAAAATGATGATAGGAATTCAGCAACAATATGAATATATCACAACAACAAGGAACGAACAAGGAATTTTGTTATTAACCTCCACTTTTGGTCTGAGAGAATTCACTGAGAGACGTCTGATCACATGATTTCACGCGTTTTCTAATATCGATGACAAATGTCACCCACCTCACCACGACAAATTCCAGCAAGTTACGTATTGAGCTTCGAAACAGTCGTTTAAAAAGTAGTTGGAAGTATGCTGAATTATCAAATGAATGCTGATTTGGATTATTAAACCTTTATTTAGCACTAGGTCTTAGCTTTGACTAAAAAAGTCGCTACGCACATACGCTGGTGTCCTAGCTTCTTCGACGTATTTCTCCGACCAAATCATACAATTTGGCAACAATGGCGTCTCGACGCCATAGCGATCTCCGCTAGCGTCGCGGCATAAGGAACAGTAACGTACTGTGCTAAAGCTGGTCTTGATGAAATCTTAAAAGGCAGTAGGTACAGGCGTCGTCGAAATATTATGTTAAAAAAAAATTGAATTCGCTAGTAGGTCTTAATCCAAATTTTATGTTAAAAAATATGGATGCGCTAGTCGTTATCGATTTTAGATTCGAAAAATATTAGATGCACTACTTGATTCCGATTTTATGGGTGCAAAAATGGTGGATGAAATAGTGGAGACAGGATTTGTGTTCAAAAACTGGTGGATGCCCTATTCGGTGCCGATGTTATGTTCAAAACTGGTGATGCGCAAGTCGGTCCCGAATTTAGGTTGGTACGTCCCGATTCTGTTTCAAAAAAGGTGGATGTGACCCAGTGAACCCGATTTGTGTTCAAAAAGTGGTGGATGCTCCATGCAGGGCCGATTTTATGTTAACAATTTGTATATGTGCTAATCGATCCCGATTGTAAAACTGGTGGATGCTTTATTAGGTCTATTGGTAGCGCGCTAGTCGGTCCCGACTTTATGTTCAAAAACTGGTGATGCGCAGGTCGGTTAATAATTTATGTTGATATGTCCCGATTTTATGTTGCAAAAATGGTGGATGATCTAGTCAGGATTTTATGTTAAAAAAATATTAGATGCTCTAGTTGGCTCCGATTTAATGTTTAACAAATGGAAGATGAAATAGTGGAGCCCGTATTTGTGTTCAAAGACTGGTGGATACTCTATTTGGTGCCGATTGTAAGTTAAAAAACTAGTGATGCCCAAGTCGGTCCGAATTTACGTTGCTAGGTCCCGAGTTTGTGTTCAAAAAGTTGTGGATGCCCTATTCGGTGTCGATTTTATGTTAAAAAGTTGTACATGTGCTAACCGATCCCGATTTTATGTACAACAAAGGTGGATACTTTATTAGGTCTATTGGTAGTGCGCTGGTTGGTCCTGATTTTAAGTTTAAAAACTGGTGATGCGAAGGTTGGTCTCGAATTTATGATTATAGGCGCTGAACTCATGTTTAAGAAATTGTGAATGCAATTTATGTTCAAATAATGTTGGATGCGCTAGCCGGTCATTGGAAGCTAATGCGAGATGCCAATAGATTATGAAAACATAATATATAATATGTTCAGCAATGTTCGTGAACTGATGGGTTGGAACAATTACATTATATTACGTTACATTTTCTATATTCCCATATTGACCTTTGACTTGAGAATATTGGTGCCGTAAGTGAAAAAGGAGCGATTCCATCGAGGTATTAAGGCTATAGAGAAGCTGGGACACAAACATGACATCGCACTACTGCTAGATACTGAAGAGAAGCGAGCAGGAGACAGATTGAACAGGAGTTTTGAAGGAAAAATATAAATCTTTTCGATTTGGTCTTGTTTTTGACTACTACTGTTGGTTTTTTAGATAAAAATTTCGCTTTACAACCAAAAATTTACGTTTTTCCATGAAAATTCCAAGAGATTCCAATGCATGTCTTCAAGTAAAATAAATCTTAACGAGCTAGAAAAGAAACAAAGCGTGTTTAGATTTCATATATATATATATATATATATATATATATATATAAATTTTATAACCATTGGAGGAGAAAAAAAAAATAGTGTCAAGTTAGCTGATTCTGTACTTCACAAGTTAGCACTTCTGCGAAAAAATCAAATGACCTTCCTCCTCTCCTGAGAGAAATTGCTTAAGGCGCACATGATCATTGCGTTGACCAATCACGCGTGAATGACGATATTGGTCTTCACCATGCACAGGTCACACAGTCCAGCCCACAGCACCACAACAGTGTCTCGACACCCGACATCTATGATGAGTGAAATATGCCTAATATGTGTGTAGAATTACTGAGGTTGGAGGCGTATGAATATACCAACGACAAAAAATTAAGATATACCCTCCTCCACCCCCTGCAACCCCTAATCCCAATTTTTATTACCCCTACAAAAAATTTGCACAAAACGAAGGTCAAGCGTTCATTTTTTTTTGTTTTTGGCATTTTTCTCCGTCGCCACTGGAATTATTTACAAAAACTACAAAGCTTTTGCGTCCTTGACAACACGTTAGGTAGTTTTAAATGACTTTATTGTTTTCCGAAGATTAATACACATCTCCATGCGCTTGAACCAATTTTCGAAGCATTTATTCCACTCGTTTGCTGGCAGATCCAAAACGGCATTTTTGAATGCGTCAACTGCTTCTTCTGGTGACTGGAACCTTTGACCACACAGTCTGTTTTCAATTTTCGGGAAAGTAAAGAAATAGTTAGGACTTACATCGGGACTATATGGAGGATGGTCCAATAATTCCACGTTTTCTTCTGTTAAATACTGCCTTGTCTTTTGAGCTGTGTGCGAAATTGCATTGCCTTGGTGGAGGATGATTCTTCTTTCGGGGTTGATTTTTCGAAGCTCGGTTATGACTTTTGGCCAACAAATGGTGGTATACCAATCCGCAGTAACAGTTCTTTGATCATTACTAGGAATTGTTGCAATATGACCCGCTTTTGACACAAATGTCGCGACCATCTTTTACGAAACATTTCGAGAACGGATGACTTTTGTTGGCTTTTCTTTACCTTGGAACACCCAAACAGCCGACTGTCGTTTATTTTCTGGTTCATAACAGTAAATCCACGATTCATCACCACTAACAATGCTGTACCCATTTTTTGAGTTTCCGGAATTGAAACGGTCAAGCGTTTTTTGACACCAATTAACCCCGACTGCTTTCTGCTCTGACTGAAGTCAACAGGTCGAGTATCTAACGAGAAACTAATTTTCTTACTCCCAATTCTTCATGTAAACTTTTTTGAATTGAGGTCTTTGAGATCTTCAAGGACGCCTTAACCTCGCGATATGTCACATGTCTATCTTCAATGATGAGTTTGCGTACAGCATCGACGTTTTCCTGAGTGACTGCCGTTTTTGGTGCACCCACCCCGGGATCGTCGCTAAGACTCACCCGTCCTCGTTTAAATCCTCCATACCAACGGGAAATTGATGTCGACTGATGTGGCGCTTCGTTGCCGAAAACAAACAGTAACTCAGCAAGACATTCTTGTTGCGATAATTGTCTCTGAAGGTTGTAATAAATTATGGCGCCAAAATGTTCTCGGTTGAGTTCCATTTTTCTAATGACTTGGTGACACTTAAAAATTCACTGTAGTGAGAACACTGCACGTATTGTTGTGAAACTTTGAATTTAAGTTTACTAAAGAGTGAGGTTAAGATTCAGTACTGACGTTCGATCCGCGCGGCATACTATGTTTCTATATGTAAAACTTAAAAGACATCCCTCGTAGTAGTAACATTGCTTATAAATTTCATCGAAATCCGAGGGGTGCTTCTCAAATTATAGGCGGTTATAAGATTAGCGCACAGACCGACGGTAATGTGTCTCATGGTTTTTCATGATACATATGTCATATAACATACTAAAATCAAAATGTATCTCATTTTCGAACATTTTCGCGATTATAACAATTTCCCGCCAGTAGGCGTAGGAAGTAATACAAGTTAAATTGTGCCAGGCCTCTGTAATTAAAAGAGAACCATCGAACTTTAACTAATCGATTTTTCTCACTCATTGTCACAATCCTAATAGACCTAGACCTGTCCGGATCAGGCGTTATGTGATTATCTTTGAATGGGTTCTCATGTCTATAATAAATGCACCATCGAATACGTGCCAGTCCGTTCCTGTTGGTACGTATCGCGTCGCGGCGTCGATCCCGGGCACCGCGACGCCGCCTGTGGATCGCCCTCAGTTGGTCACCAGCCGCAGTAAATTCGCCGCATCCGGGTCGGGACGTAGTGCCGCCGTGGAGACGATGCCCGCCGGCGAGCGTCGCGCACACGGACACCTTTCGCAGACGACGTCCACCAGGACCTGGTGCACCAGCAGTACGTGATGCAGGCCACGGCGACCGCGCAGCCTGAGGGAGCCGGCGCCACTGGGACGGCCTCGGGGGGCCGCGTCAACGGGGGCCGATTTGATTTCGACGATGGGGGCACATATTGCGGGGGATGGGAAGAAGGAAAAGCCCATGGACACGGCGTATGCACCGGACCCAAGGGACAGGGAGCGTACTCAGGCAGCTGGCATTACGGATTCGAGGTGTCCGGAGTCTATACTTGGCCCAGGTAATGCTACACCCGACCAGAGCAGAGCGCTGCTGGCCGACGAATCCCGCTGCTGCTACTGGGAAAACGGAACACGTTGCCACGCGCCTAGATACGACGACGTGGGGCTATTATTTGTGTGTGTGTGTGTGTATGTTTATTAATGAGGACGTTTGCGGGCAATGCTGAATTTATTATATAGAATGGCTCAAATAGACCGAGATACCATGTACCGCAGAACGTCCTTCATTTATAAAAGTTGGACAATTACGTGGCTGATAGTCCAGGTTGCCAAACATCACGAAATTTTCAACGGATGCAAAATACCTAGCCAAGAAGTTTTTTGCTAGACAAATTAATAACCCCCTAACTTTGAACTGAATCTCGAGTTACCATTTTTTATTAGCAAAATTATTGAAAATCATATAGAAGAATGGGTCTAATTCTTGAGCGGCTCGACCTATTTTTACTCAAAGACCGATTAGTGATATACTAAGCAAGGTCTTCCCCATCTGAAACCCCATTCCGGCACATGCGCTTACTTCAGGTTACTCACCCCCCACGTGAACCACACCGCCTCCAACACCACCACCCCTACCGAACAAAAATCTATTAAAGAAATGAACCGTTTTCCTCAAACTTTGTTCAAAACCACCTCGACAGACAAGACTTTCGATTAGAAAAACTGTATACCCAGAGATTTAGCAATGTCTTGACAAATCTAAAGACACTTTGTATGTCAAGATCCATCAAGCCGTTTAAGCTATAGCCCGTGAAATAGTAATTTCACGGTTGATGTCCAGTTCCTACGCGAGTGGGTAAGGAAGTACTGTAATCGAAAAAAAAATCGAAAATAAAATGTATCTTTTGGCTGTTCCATGTCACTCGTTTTCATCGATCTGTCTGTGGACTAATCATATGGTCCTATTTGACTGACACTCAATCCGGTTAATTTCCCTGTTGTACATGTTTGTAACTGACTTTCTTCTCAGAGTATTTAAACTGTGCTGAACTTAATCCTTTATCAACTGATGACGTAGGAAGTGTGGAGGCCACCTACTTGATGCCATTTTTTAATGAAATCTTTGATTTTATTACTATAATATATTAATATAGCCAATGTCACTTGCACTGCTAAGACGTTTCCAATAAAACCTCATGTCCAAATCCATCAAGCCGTTGGGCTAGTAGCTTGCGAAGTAAACATTTTTGTCAACACATATATCCATGCGCGAAAAACATAACCCTCCTCCTGAGGAAGTCGGATAAAAATGGGTATGATTTTTAAAGGACACGACCGAATTAGTAATCTATAAATCAAACTCTATCATCTGATACCCCATTCAGGCATTACTTTGTGTTGCTCACCTTCACGTTCACTCCCATAAAGAGTTAACGAGTTTTATTAAAATAGCTAAGAACTATCTATCTCCATTGACAATGCTTTGTCGTGTGAGACTGCAATTAATAAACGTATAACAAAATGTTTACAGATATGGAAAAATATCGTGAATGTAACAAAGAATTAGGACATATTATGAATGGAATTTTTTATTTTTACTTCTTCTGTTGTCTATAAATGAAAAAAAATCGACAAGACGCAACATGAAGTTTACCGATTTGTACATTTTAGAGTATTTAAATTTCATATTTGTGTCTTTCCATATAGTCGCATCGGTCCTTTAATTTTGAAAAAATAGATATTGGGCGTAACAGTAAATAAATAAGGTGAGGTAAAGAGAAACAGGAACAACCAATGTGAATTTTTGATTTCTAAGTTTTATGACTGCTATAGCTGTAAACTTCAAGCGCACACAAATATACTTTTGCTGTTATAGTTATATCGAAAGCATAAATACATAAATCTTCAAATTTGTAGATAAAACGTGCAATAAATACGACTTTTCAAGTTCAACCACGCTTCATAAAATTTTGCGAAGTATACAATCATTGCCGCACTGAAACTCGATGGAAAGACAAAATAAAATATTCACACTGCGTCAATAAAAAGGGTAAATCAAAAAGATAAGCTGCCACATGAATCTTTTTGATCTTATGCTTTTATATCAATGCTGTAGAACAATCTGGTATTTTAATGTACCTCGATTATTAAAGCGCATATTACCAACCATTTACACAGCCTATTATAAGTTGAATAGAAAATCGTAAAAAATATTTGATTTGCATATGTCACCTTTTTAAAACGCCCAATGGAAAAACGGCAACTTTGCGATTGTTTCAGTTATTTTTTTAACGAATTTATACCCGTTGTTATATTGGTACATGTGGATGTTGCTGCCCTGCGGTGGCTTCAATGGAAATGCTATACTTTCAGAAAACATCCAAGAACAAGCAACATTTTTTTTGCATCTGCTCATCAAATATCCATACAAAAACATCAAAAATCTTGGTTACAGGCTTCTATCAAGCCATACTATATTTGAATTAAAACTCGTCTCTTGTAGCAGTGGTGGTTACACGAAATTTAGGTTTCAATCTAACCCGTTGTAACAAAAGTGCTCTCCTCGATCAATCCATACAAAAACCTGCATCTGCAAAATGTTTTTTGGAAATGCTTTAAGATTTTAAATAAACCAATAGTTTGCTCCGGCAGACCACAATTCTGGAAAAAATAACGAATTATGTATCGTGAAAGCTTCAAAATCTTGAAACTAAACTACTCGGCTACTATCAATGACATCAACCTTCAGAACAGTACATTAAATTTGACATATATCCTTAACATTAAGAATTTTTTCGCGAGTCCAGCACAGTGCACTACCGGGAACCGATACTCAAATTTTCGCGAAGAACGGGAATAGGACGGATGTGACGTCGTCCAAATGTAAAAAAATCCTGGTACGGGTACCCGCCTAACGTCTGTGAGGTACTAGCGGGTGACAGTTTATCAAGGAGCTTAAAGCAAACATTTTGCGCAACATGCGCCATCTAACCACTCCCGTTGTAACCTGTAACTGTCAAAACTTCGACAGGAAGGGAAAATTCCATCTGTTCCCGCTCCGGTTCAATACGGGATCTCGCGAAAAAATCTCTATTAATTCGTCACTTCAATTCAGAAACTCTTTAGCATGGATAATGTAGTCGATGCGGCAGCACCCCAAACATATTCGAGGCTAGGTCTTATCTGGGCCGTGTACCAAGTGAGGAGGTTAAGTGGAGAGAAATACTAAAAATCTAAACAAATAGCCTAATCTCTTTCCCAGCAGCTGCTGCCAATGGCGAGATGTTTTCGTGCCATAACAAGTCCTCTGACCAGCCGAAATGAATGGCTCTTTGGAAGAACTCGGCCATCCATCCTGATAAGCTAGGGCGCTTCTTGTTGGTCAAGGTACAGTACTGTATTATGGAAGCATAAAACTGTACCAGATTGTTGGGTCACCAAGCAGTGATAACCTCCAGGTGTCTCGACAGGGAGGAAGTCGCTGCTAACATTTTTTTCTCCAGCTCCGTAAATCCATAAACAGATGCCTAACTTTTTTACATATGCCCAACTTTTTTATATAGATAATAGACTCGCGAGAGGAAAGTCATCCGGATTTCTATCATAATGTCCTTAAGATGGACTCAGCTTTAATGTGCTGTATGGACTGATTACTAGCTCCACTAGCAGTGGGAATTTCACCCCATTTGTAGAGGAAGCCATGTTATATTCTGATTCTGTTGAAACTTGGCCATACATTTTGAGGAAGGTCAAAACCAGGTGGTATCCCTTATACATATAAGGCATCGAGTGATATTGTTTTTTAGAGAAAGCATTCCTGCATTCAGGTTATTAGACACCTGAAAACCGTTTAGGTGTGCAGGTGTTTTGCACTTCTTAAGCTGGGTTTTTCAATTGCAGATTAACTTTAAAGTTAGGTAACTACGAGTTGTAAGTTAACTATCAGTTAACTGACTCAAGTGACACGTAATTGTTCATGTGGCAACGCTGTGTCGACGTTTGAACAAACGGTTTTAGAAAGATAACTCCCGGTTAGCAGTATTATATAATTACAGTTAATCTGAGATTAAAAAACTCATGAGGTTGCTTAGGACGGAGTCTCTTGATGTCTAGATCTACAATGACTTAGTATATATTAATTTTAGAAAACACACGGCGACAAAAGTGCCCAGAAACCAGAGCCAGGTATACTTTTCTGAAGGTATTTGACACGTGGAATCCGATCCGTGGCCCAAATCTCTCAATCGGCTCTATTTTCCGCGATATCTTGACCTTAAAGTGCAAAAATAGTGACTCTTCCCTATATTTGAGGTTATGTAGCATAGCGAATTATTTTTACAAAAGGCCATATTTCACGAGTACCCATCACGCTTTGACGTCTACTGAGGAGAACAGCTGATCAGCAAGTGACATTTTTGTGTTAGTCTGTAACGTTGGCTATAATGGTTGGCTATAGGGTGTAAATCTAGCCGAAATTTGTTTGTAGCTTTTCTCAATAAAAGAGCTTTTAGCAAGTACAAAATGAATCTGTAGCATACATGGCATTGACGGATCCGTCAGAATTATCTGTTCTTTGCCGATATGGGGAATTTTGAAATATTACTAGATAATCAGCAGCCATTCTATCGTAATGGATACTCATGAACAAGAAGATAGACATCATATGAAGTTGAGTTTGCTTATATATCTTTTTCTTAGGCATTTTGAAATTTTGATTTTTCTGATCTTTATCGGTTCAGCTTTTATCAAAAGAAAGTAAGTACCTTTTCATTCTAAAACAAGTAAGCAATCGAAAGTGAGAACATTAAGCTCGGACTTGATAGGATAGGGGGGTTTATGGGTATGTTTTGGATATTTTAAGGATTTATTGTTGAGGATTTATGGCTTTTTTAGTTTGTAGGTCTTATTTCGTAAACATACATTTTTATTAAGTTCTTAGTGATTATAATCCAAACATTTAGAGAAAATTAAAATTCCGAAATGCCGTATTACAGTGGAAGAAAAAATATTTAAGCTAACTTAACATTTGAAAGGGCACCTCATATAGCCATGAATCGTC